TCTGTTAAAGCAAAGCTCGTGTGTCAAAGACCATTGGAAATGAAGTGAGTAAGAAAATTATTGGAAAGTAAATCAGATTTTTAAATTAATTTGTTCATGTGAGTAGCAATGTGAAAAAATGTCATTCAATATTTATGATTCATACCTCAAAAATAAAAATTCTAAAACAGGAAAATATTATGATATTTTTCTTTTTGATTATGCAATCTACTCATTCATTGATTGAGGTAACCCTACTCGAATTAGTCATTCAAGGTGAACAAAAGGTAATTTTAGGATGCATTCTTTGTCTTGAAAATTCACTATCACATGCTTTGGTATGCATGAACACCTGGTCCGTCCCACCTATGTGTCTTTTGATGCATTTCTTGTCAAATCAGTCATACATCATGCAGCCAAGATGGTGCAATTAACAAACGAGCAGAGGGTTTTTGTTGTTCGAAAATATCATGAGACAGTGAGTTTGCAGACGTTGCAAAATGAATTTGGGATTCGTTTTTCCAGAACGCGAAGTTCCTTCAGTACAAGTGATTTGGCCAATGTGCGCAAAAATCACCAACATGGAAGCAATCTGAATAACATAAAAGCAATGAGACAAAAACTCATCAATTACCCTACGAGCACCAGTTCCAGACGAAATGGGCTAGGTCTACTCTCAGCAACGTTTAACCGTATCACCCGGTTATGCAACGTTTACACTATGTTCCACCGTAGACAAAACTGGATGGACATGAGACACTAGCGAGCTTTCGATTTTAGGCCACTACGCGTGACGTCATATTTATCCCCTGCGCATGCGTGAGCTTCTGGGCCCACGTTCCCTTCCAAATCAACGGACAGGAGTCGGGGGCAATTTCCGTGAATCGCCGTTGCCGTGAAAACGTCAACGTGAGTGTAGTTTCATCACCTTCTTTTATGTTATTCTTTGTTGTTATTGTTCTATTATTTCCCCTTGCTATCTCTTGTTTCTTCTTCTATCACCTTTACTTATGTTATTCTTTGTTTTATCATTCTATCACTTACTTTTTCTATCTTTCCTTATGTTATTCTTTGTTTCTTCCTTCTATCACCTTCTTTTATGTTATTCTTTGTTTTATCATTCTTTTATTTTTTGTCCCTCCTTATGTTATTCTTTGTTTCTTCCTTCTATCACCTTCTCTTATGTTATTCTTTGTTGTTATCATTTTATCACTTCCTCTCTCTATCTTTCCTTATGTTATTCTTTGTTTCTTCCTTCTCTAATGTTATTCTTTGTATTTTATCATTCTATTACTTCCTCTTTCTATCTTTTCTTTTGTTATTCTTTGTTTCTTCCTTCTCTTATGTTATTCTTTGTTTTATCATTCTATCATTTTTTGTCTCTCATTATGTTATTCTTTGTTTCTTCCTTCTATCACCTTCTCTTAAGTTATTCTTTGTTTTTATCATTCTATCACTTCCTCTTTCTATATTTCCTTATGTTAATTTTTGTTTTTTCCTTCTATCACCTTCTCTTATGTTATTCTTTGTTTTTATCATTCTATCACTTCCTCTTTCTATCTTACCTTATCATCTTTGTTTCTTCCTTCTATCACCTTCTCTTGTGTTATTCTTTGTTTTTATCATTCTATCACTTCCTCTTTCTATCTTTCCTTATGTTATTCTTTGTTTCTTCCTTCTATCACCTTCTCTTGTGTTATTCTTTGTTTTTATCATTCTATCACTTCCTCTTTCTATCTTTCCTTATGTTATTCTTTTTTTCTTTCTTCTACCGCTTTCTCTAAGGTTATTCGTTGTTTCTTCCTTCTATCACCTTCTCTTATGTTATTCTTGTTGTTATTATTTCCTCTTCCTATCCTTTGTTTATCCTTCTTGTTCTTTTTTGTTTTATCATTTTAACTTTCTATTTCTGTCATCCTCATGTTATTCTTCGTATCAGATTTTCGCGCACGGTCAATTTATTACCTGATTTAATCACCTGATATTTAAAAAAAAATGGTCACGTGACCGACGAGAGCACCGACGTGAAAAATCGAAAGCACTGCCGCGAAGGGAACGGACGTGAGCTGAGCAACGTCTCCACGCTCCAGTACCTCGTAGTAGCCCGCCAGCCGACGTCGGGTGCCTAAATCGAAAGCTCGCAAATGTCTCATATGGACGACGCGACCGCAGCAATCACGTGCATGCAACATACGCGAAACCGAAGCGTGCGGAGAACTTCGATCTGTTTTGCGTACTCTGACCATGTAGAGATTAAGTTGCTGCCTACCGTTAACTCATAGCCTGTCGTAAGGCTGCATGCACGCTATTGTTATAGTGCTTTGTACACGCGAGCAAACTACTGTTACTCTGCTTCTTGCATGATTGTACGCATTCTTGATTGGACTGTGCCTAGTGTTTAACGCGCTATTGGTAGTAGCATCGCGTTAATCCGATTATCTCGTTATAAATTTGGCACTGGGGGGGGGGGGGGATTTGTGGCTTGGCACAATGGGGATTAGCCCTGTTGTTAATCAAGTCTATTCGTTTACATGCAGTAGTACAAAAGAGGACTTAGATGACTTTAATCACTTACGTTTCACGTGCTCAGCTGAGACGCGTTTCTAAGATTTCTAAAGAAGGCGATCAGTTCGTTTATGAAGATATAACTTCATAAGCAAACAAAAACGAAAGTATTAGGTTTATAAACCATGTTCCCCAAGGCAGGGAAAATCACGTTATTGTTATGGTGATATAACAGTGACAATTGCGTGATTTAATGTAGTGTCTTTTAAGTGACATAGTGAAATAAACGTATTAACACAATCACGTAAATTTCAAGTGTTTGAAAAACGGAATTCTCTTCATTTCCTTGACATTGGCGTGATTTGGGGGAGATATGTTCATAAGTTTCAGGTTCTTTTTGTTGTTGTTGTTGTTAATCTACCTCTCTCTCTTTCTCTCCTCTTCCCCTCTCCCTTTATCTTCTAATCTTTTACCTTTTGTCTTTAGTCGCTTTCTCTCTGCGGCCCCTTTCCCATTTTAGGCATCTGATTTATACATTTAATACACTTTTTTTCTTTCTCTCTCTCTCTCCCTTTTTTTTTTACACAAAAATTAATAATATAAAATAAGAGCTTACATTTACACCTTTAACAGAAGCCTGTGTTGAGCCTTTAGTATAATACTATTGATACATATATATTTTTATAGTAGTAGTCGTGGTTGAGTCTATATGGATACCGATAAACAATCTGACGAATTTGCAGAGAAATCATTAAAGGAAACCAAAACCTTCATACTAAGTTACTTTTATTGTAAAGTTTAAGATATTTGAAAAATATCAGAGAAAATTTGAACAAAATCGGGCAAGGAATAAGGAAGTAAGAGATTTTTGAAATGACTAGTCACTAGAGGGCGGCATTCAATTCGATGACATCATCTGTGGACAACTCTCCATGCCTTTTGTACATCAAATTTCATGTTTTTCCTTCTTTCTTGTGATTGAGATAATGTACTCCCCTGAAAGCAAGATACATGTATAGAATGCAAAATGATATTCTACTTCACATGTTATGAAGTCGGATCAAGAACACAAATAAATACGAATAAAACCAAAAAATTGTGAAATTTTATGTACAAAAGGCATGGAGAGTTGTTCACAGATGATGTCATCAAATTAAAATCTCGCCCTCTAGCGACTAGTCATTTCAAAATGCTCTAACTTTCTTATTCCTTGCCTGATTTTGTTCAAATTTTTCAAACTTTACAATAAAAGTAACTTAGTATGAAGGTTTTGGTTTCCTTTAACATATTCGAATAATTTGGCAGAAATATAGCAAATAATACATTTCGGTTGAGCCTTATAGGATGCGGCCGTCATTGTTGGTCAAACAGCTTGTGAGCGTCAAGTAACGCCCGGCTGGAATGCTCCCCAGGGAGTGGAGATTGTGCACACAGTGTGTGCAGGCAAACACTGAATCCAATGACCGGGGTAATAGTATATTTGTAAAGCGCTTAGAGACATTTGTATTAAGCGCTATATAAAAATTAAATATTATTATTATTATTATATGATTTATACTTTTTTTAAAGTAATGACACAGCTCTTCTGATTTCGCACAAGTTATTAAGGCTAATATTATGGTCCACTCTTTCCGATCCTTTCTAGACTGCATTTTCTCTTCAGTCCCACTTGTTACAAAATATATGTGTGTGTAGTTTCTTAAGCAGCTCGGAGTTGAACATAGATTTGCCATTTTTTGGCAATCACGACCAGGTAGCCTCGACTTTGATTGTGCTAGTGCTCGACTAATGAATGAGTCGCTCGAAATAGACTTGACTCTATATGATTTATTATTGATATTTAATACAAGGATATTTGAATTTGTTATGATTATTTCTCAAAGCATGCCCATTTTGATTGAATTGATGTTTAGTCAATTAGCTTAATTACAAATTTTATATCACGTTTTTTTGGTAAATATCGACAGATTTGAGGATACCAATATGCATTCCAGGACATATTTACTTCTGGTCCGGAAATAGTTCATGATTCAGAATAATGCCAGCTTATACTTTGGTAGTCTCTGTCATACCTTCTAAATAATTGTATCTTCTTTCTTTAGTTTCAGATAAAATATCTGAAGAAGTCCGATGAGGAAGAAAGCTTCAAACAATTATAACATACGTCATTCTTTGATAGGATCCTAATTTCTCACTCAATGTTCTCACTCAACATTCTTTATCTTTTCCAGGCTATATATTCTTTTTCTACATTTAAAAAAAAAAAAAAATATTTTCCACATATGGGAAGGATCACCCTTTTCAGCTACAAGCTGGTCTTCAATGGGGTCCACTACATACATCATAATGATTTTCCATCTTTGTGTCAAAACATTTTGTTAGTTTTAATTCTTTATTTCGAAATTTACCCTTACGATTGCCAAAAGATCAAAGAATACCACAATGTCATTCGGAACATGACATATAATCTACTTTCAGTGTTATACAGAGTTTAAAATGATCAGAGAAACAAGAAGTTCGGATTTATATATGTTTTAATACCACTTTAAAGAACTTTATCCATGCAGTCATTGTATTCAATCATCAGCTTATTGTTATAATCGCGGAATATATATTACCAGTGTGCTGTAAATTACTGATAAAACAATTTGCAAACATTAATATAAAAGAACGACACATTTTCATAATAACATAAGTACAAATTCATGATAATTCTCATGTCTTCATTTGCATAATAACACAGTATAACTTTATGTGCATAGAAAATCCACCCATCATTACAAGCCACGTTAAGGTCCATAGTTTAACATATAATTTGTCATTAGAAAAAGAAAGAGAGAAAGAGAGAGACTTTTTTTATTGGGATTAATCAATCCACTCTCACGCTGAAAATAATTGAACCCATTCTGAAAAGAGTCACTATTTTCGAGTGGATCTGGGCCCTGATTCAACAAGTTGTTATCAATAACAAGTTGTAAAAATAATAACTTTTATAAGCTACTGGCATCTGGGTGACTGAGAGCTAATTTGTTATATAATTTGAGCATTTTTTTTATTGATAAGAAGTTTCAAGAAATAGGATCATGGATTAGTTTCTACTGCACAGGATCCCCAATATAACGCCTACTAAAGACTGTCCTATCCGCTGCGTTACGACAATAATAGAGATAATAATGAAAAAAAAAACATTATAATAATAGTAATTGTAGCGATGATGATGATAATTGTGATTAAAATAACAATTATAATGTGAATAATGGTAATAATAATAATATAAATAATAAAGATGATCATATAGTAATAATTATAACATTTAGAGTTTATTTTTGAGTGATTCGATCCCTCAAACCTTGGACTGTGAGTCAAATGAATGAACCACGACACCTCTATTTGACGTTATCTGCTAACCACCAGAATCTGAGCTAAACGATAAAGTAAGCAGATCCTATGTAGATCTCCCGGATGTTGTAAGTCTGGATCCTTGTGGGCGACCCGTCAAGTGTGAAGGGGCACTGGGCTCCTCCCTTGACCCGGAAGCAGACACTAAACATGGCAAATTCAAATTCGGGACTGGAACCGATTATCATAGAACCAAAATCCTTTTTGACGTTCTTCCAGACGAATGCAAGTCCCTTCTGGTTAGGCTGCATGAGAAGATATATTTGTATAGTTATAAATTAATAAAGAAACAAAGAAACAAATCATCAAAATATAAATTAACTAAAACAAACCAACAACAATAACAACAATGAAGTCAACAACAACAACAGTGAAAATGAGAGACAGCATGAAGAGAATACCAAATGTCAATTTACGGTGAAAATCGTTACACTTTTGTTTTGTCGGAGAAATTGCTGTTTGATGAAAAAAAAAGACCGAGTATACATAAAATGACCATTGATGGAAGGAAATTATAATATCATTATTATTATTATTGTTATTATTTTCATTATTGTAGTTATTTTGGGACCCCTACGAAGAACAGATCAAATTTGTCGGGGAATGTGAAACGGGTGATCCCACGATCCTACATTTTATTCCTAGAATATTCCACGTAAAATATTTTAGTGCTCTGTTGCTTTATGTGTTATTATAATAATTATAATAATATTGAGCTTTTATTTAGCGCTTAATACATCTCGGACGTCTCTAAGCGCTTTACAGATATACTATTACCCCGGTCATTAGATTCAGTGCTTACCGGCACACACGTACTGTGTGCACAATCTCCACTCGCTGGGGAGCATTCCAGCCAGGCATTATTTGACGCTCAAAAACTGTTTGACACACAATGACGGTCGCATCCTACCGGGTACCCATTTTAACACCTGGGTGGAGAGTAGCAAGTGTAGGTTAATATCTCGCCAAAGGATATTTGTGCCGTGTCGGGATTGTTTGTGTTTCATATTTATGATCGTAAATAAAACCAACCAAAACGATCAAAGGTTAGAATATGGCCCTATACGTAATTCACTGTAGTTTTGAACTCTTTTAAGAACACGATCACAACTTCTTTCGATAAAATTAACTCAAGGGCAATTTCAATACCTTTTTGTTTATCCTTTAGAATTAATGTCCAATTACGTTGTACGTCATGTTCGCGTATTTAGAAGGTGATGGATAGGGCCATTGAACTTGCCTTTAATAAGTTGATTTTTCTAAAGTAGTTGCGAAGAATTTGATATATAGTTACTCACTTCGTTCTCACGCACGTAGCCATAATACTCCAGATCTCCCGCCTTTTCTTGGAAGTAAAACTGAAGCCAGTTATGGAAACCCGTCACGCCACTACTTCTGGTCTCACCAAGAAACACGTGTTCAAATCCTGACGAACCGAAATTCTGATCACTTTGCTTTCTGCTGTAGTTACCGAACCACACTTCTTTGGCCCATTCTCGATATTCGGCTTCATTTTCATACCAACCTAGCGTATTTTTAGAAATGAAAGGAAAAGTAAAATATGAGTAAAACAGAGTAGCAAACGAAATATTCCCAATCCCTCTGTAGAGTATTCACCGATCATCAACTAATGGCGATGGTGCCTACCAACACCGCTGGAGTCAGGGGCGGATCCAGAATTTTCCACAAAGGGGGGGGGGGGGGGGCGGAGGCCGAGAGGGGGCGTGAAATGTACGAAATTGGGAGCGCGAAATCTTTACGGCGTGGTGTTTGGGGCCTGTTAAAGGGCCTCGGAAAATGTTGAACTTTAAGATGCACTATCGTTTATTCTGTGGCATTTCTAAATGCGTAAACTAAACATATATGTGAATATTTCTGAGGTTGTTTCCATTTTTTATCGTAAGGAAAAGAGGGGGGTTCGCCCCCAACGCCCCCTGGACCCTCCCCTGGGAATAAAACAAATTAAATAAAGTTTTTGTCTTTAGTTGTTTAAGAGGTCGGATGGTTGTTCGTTTAGTTTGTTATATATATATATATTGCTGTCCTTAAACATGTTTTAAAGTGAGAATAGTGCACTACTCATGCAAACACGCTTAACATCTGGGTGTCATCAAATCGATAAGACGGTTATTATCTTTCCTAACGTCCTGAATTTTAAACTTAAATAATAATCTCTCACCCTTGTCGATGAAGAACTGCGTGGTTGTTGACATGACGTCAGATTCGAAGATTGCGTCGAGGAACTCTTCGATCTCGGCAAGTTCTTCCAAAGTGTAAATCTCAAAAGCTTGCGTATCAGAGATGTAGTTATCCATAAGGGCAATAAACGCCTGGTAGGTGCGACTAGAGAGAGCTGACTCGTTCACGCTCGTGAAAAATCTACGAGTGGTACAAGAAATCATGACATTGATTTAAAACTAAAAATATGGAAAGAATTAATATGTTTGTAGATATTCTTTAGGTGAATGCTGAAAAAAAAAAATCTCGTGTTCTTATACCCCCCTCAAAAAGATGATTTTGTCCGTGGATTGGTCAAGGTAATTTCAAATGAAATCAAAAATTTTCTACAAAAGAAACACCCCTGTTCTATTTATTTCTATCTTCAGGATTGACTTGCGATTATCACTGTTTGTCTTCGTCCAGTTAACTGACGACTTGCTGAAATCGACTGATTTTGCGGTGAACCTCCATCTTGAATTCAATATTCCAACTAGCTACTATAGGAATAGAGGAAAATATGATCGGTAAGCTTCAATCGTGTGAATGATTTTTTTGAAAATGAAATAAATTGAATTGTAGGAGTGAAATAAAGAACATAGAAACTCACGGATCAGGTGACATATCAACATCGTCACCATCTCCAACTTGAGCTTGTTTGTTGATGACGTAATCGTTTACAGGGCTTAGCCTATTGACATCAAGGGTCCACAAGGATTCAGCTAATTCAGTGATATCTGCTTCAGTGATTGGTACAGGTCCAGTTCCTGCCAATAGAATCGTTAAAAATAAAAAATTCATGAGACGGTTCCAAAATGACATGGCAATAAATCGCAAAGACTTCATAATGTATTTCCTGCCTACAGCATAGACATTTGGAAAAATAAGTGCAAGTATGATTGTTATATGCGAACAACCAATTTATTGATTTCCTTCTTTTTCATAGAAAAATGCACATAGATTTATTCTTCTTCCAGGGTTACGCTGGTTACGTCACTGAGCTGCCGCCCTCGAAACGAGAAATAATATATCGCGATGCGCGATGACGTTATACTTTCTCAATCGGAAATCTACTCTTTGACGATTCCCAATGGACCACTCTCTCGTGAGTGGGATTTTATGCTAAACATAGTGGAACCATCCGTCAAAACCCCAAAGACGACAATTTGGAGTTGCTTTCACCAGAACTATAATTTGATTCAACTCCAAAATAAGGTTATTGTTCAAAGGCCATTTTCGTCATTTTACCAAATGCAGAGCTGCCAACTATTCCGTTTTTTCAAATTCAAATTACGTTTTATAAATAATTTTTACATATATATTTTTTTAAACATACCACACGCCAAACAACTGCCCTAAAATGTTTTTTTCGATCACAAATTTAATAGAAAACTAAGGTTAAAACATACTTGAAGAGAAAAATATTCTCAAAAAGAATGAAACGCCGATAATACCAAAATAACAACAACAAAATACCTACTTGGATGAACTATAGGTCCTAATATGAAAACAAACTATATGAGGAATGGACATTTCTGCATTGGAAGTGTATCGCGCGTGGTTTGGTCGCAAGAGGTTGACAGCTCTACAAATGTAATACATATACGTCTTCGATATGAATTAATGCGTTATTCACCTGTCACGAATAGTTGTATTTCAATAGTCAGAATGCAAATCGCATTTAACACATGTTGATAGGTAGGGCAAGAAACAATATTTGTCCTAACTAGCAACAACGGATGTATGCAGCTGGCGTACGTACTATTGAGATACAAATGATAATAATAGCTCGTTCTTATATAGCGCTTTTCGTTCGTAACAGGTAAATGGACTAATTCGTATCGAGGATTTGTTGCGTTTGATATGTAAAGTTGCCGAATAAGTAATACAAATTAGGAGAGTACCGTTAAGGCAGATTTCATTGTAATCTGGGCAGCAGTCTGATTTTGATGTACAAGCAGTGTTACATTGACATGGTTGGTTGCTATCAAAAGGGTCATCGCAGCGTTCGTCACAAGATGCTGTTAAAGTAAGGCAATAAGAAAATGGCAATGATAATAATAACATTAATAATAATAACAATAATAATAATAACAATAATAACAATAACAATAATAATAATAACAATAATAATAACAATGACGATATTAATAGTAATAATAATAATGATAGCAATATTGATACAAATAATAATAATAATAATGTAAATTAAATTAATGGAATTAATGATAATGAAGTATAAACAGCACTATATTTGCTAATACTTGTACCGAATGCGTGGAGTTATGAAATTTCAGGAAATGTGAATTACAAAAATAAATCTGAACTAAAGAATTTTGTTAATCGTTATCAAATTAATCATCACATCCATGATAAGACAACAGGAAAAATGGTAGTTATAATGATTATAGAAATAATATTAACAGTAGCGATTATGAATATAACACTATTATCAAAAATAAATTATTAATACTAACAACAATGGTAATATTACAAAAAATCAACGAAAGTCATAGTAATAATGAATATAATGATAATGCCTAGATAAATTTGACTTCAGACAATAGTTACAATAAAATGGCAAGAACAACAATATTTCATACATGAAGGAGACAACATATTTTAAACTTCAGTCAGGAATTCTATTATTTTTTGTTTGCTTCGTCTTTTTCTTATTATGCATCGAAGTACGGGCCTTGGCATTATAGTGGCATAATTATGAACTTCTAATGGTTCATAGAAATGTTCGAAAAGAAAAAAAAGAAGCAAATTTGACCAAAGCAATGATTGACAGGATAGAAGTTTGCATGATTATCATCATCATGAACGACAGGTGTTATCATCATTATCATCACCCCCTTTATCATCATCATTGATATTATCATTATTTAAAAAAAATATATTAGTAATTTTTTTCTATACTTATAATCATTATTATTTTTCTCTTGTTAAATCTTATGTTTTAAACGATCTTGTTATGAAGAATTTGGAACAACAAAGCAAGCAAACAATCATTAATATTATTATCATCATCATCTTCGTCATCATTATCATCCTTACAACTTCTACTACCACTCCCAGCCCCCCCCCCCCACTCAGTGTTATTTAGGGTACGCATATGCTCGTTCCCTCTTTTTGAAAGCACCCCCTATCTGAGGACTGCCAACATTTCCGAACCCCCCTTTCGCGGGCTTTTTGCGGGCTTTTCCTGCCTTGGAGACCCCCCTAAATCACGACAAATGCTCAATGTACCCCCCTAAATTCGGAATAATATCTCAGGAGTCTAAAGAGACGAGAGAAAAAAAGAAAAAAGACCCCCTTTTTAAAGAAATCTCCGGGTGAAAAGTTAATACACCCCTTTTTTACAATTCTCGGGCCGGACTTTGTCGCACGAAAAGTACCCCTTTACCGGACATTTTGGTAACACGTATGGGGTCATTCCGACCCCGGAGTGTGGGGGGGGGGGGGGGGGGGAGGGCGGGCTACCACTACTACTTCTACTACTACTACTACTGATACTACTATTACTACTACTACTACTACTACTACTACTACTACTACTACTACTACTACTGCTACTACTAATACTACTACAATCATACTATTGTTACTACTTCAATTAATACCACCGTTATTTGTTGATGTAGTCGTTGTTGTTGTCGTTATTTTTTTGTTGTTATTATCAATCATTCAGTCGCTTACCTGTACATTCCGTGTCGAAGTCTGGGCAGCAGTTACCATAGTTGGGACACTCTAGGTTACATTGACATGGTAAAGCACTGTCATAGTCCGTATCACACCTACCCTTACAGTAATTATCTGTAAATTGAAATATTAAAAAAGAGATAAACAGAGACCTGTATTTATGAAGGCGGACGAATCCAATCCTTGGTTGGTGTTGTGAAAATCTTAATCTTAAAAGGACAATTCTAGGGTGATTCTTATGCAACGCTTGTAGCGTACGTCAACCGTTAAGAGAGGCATCTGTGCACGAACCAATGATACGTGTCTTATTTCGTGCATCCGCGCACTTGTTATGATAATTAACAAAATATACACTAACATGACAAAATATCAGAGATTTCAGAGTTCCACAGGTTAATAATTGCCTATTGCTTTTGTGGAGCATCAACTGGAAATTAATTTAATCTGTACAAATTACAGCAATTATCAAACAAAAAGACGAAATGAAATTATCCCGGTCGTCAATTGAAAAATTGGGTTCTAGGACCCTACCCCCTGGACATCCACCCCGGATAACCACCCCAGTCAACTACCTCCTAGGACAAGAAGCCTACCCCCTAGGGCAACCACCCTCTAGGATGACTACCCCCGGACAACTACCCCGGACAACTACCCCCTAGGACAACTACCCTCTAAGACAACTATCCCTGGGACAACTATCCTAGGGGGTAGTTGTCTGGGGGGGGGGTAGTTGTCCTAGGGGTTAGTTGTCTTAGGATGTAGTGCAATGTGAAAAAACTATGTGGAAGCGAATGGAAAGGTTGATCACGTACCACATGAGTATTGATGTGTTCTGTGAACTTTTAGAATCATCAAATTGATAAGAATTTGGCTGATGCTATACCTCAAATGCACTAGCTGTACACAGAAATGTGTATATGGGACTACACACAAGTGGGGCATGAGTGTTGTGGTCCAAGATTCAAGATTCAATTGATTTTATTTCTCGTGCAAAACATCTTACAATTCAATGAATGAATAAATAAGTACATTACCCCAAAAATATACAATAAAACAAGACAAATATAATAGTAATGGCACGAGAAAGTAGGAACTAACTAGAAGCAGAGCTTGTTGAAATATTAGTTTCTCAGAGGCTGTTTTACAATACGCCTTGAAAACAAAGTATACATAGAAAATCATTAAATTAAAAAATATGTAACCATAAAGAAATCATGGATTTTGAGGAGAAGAAAAAAAGGAAAAAGAAAATTAACAACCTTTAGGTGTTAATTGTCATCTTTCGAATATGATAGTTTTTAAAGCATATCTGCATTACTTTTACCAGGAGGGATAAGAACTCCGTGCATGGCCGCTGATAAATCGGCTCTCAATTAACAAGAGAAAAGGGGGATCATAGGGGACCAACGGGTACCGCTTAGGCATTTGTTACTATATAGAGGGTACGAGTAGCTACAAGTTGTACAGTCCAACTTTAAAGAACCATTCTTTTAAATGAATTTTATGATTATCTTTCACACTAACATATTATGAAAAAAGCTCACGAGCCAAGTATTGTTTACCTTTTCCAGAAGTCAATGTTCTTTTCAAACATGGCCCATATAGTAGCGTTACCCGTGGTAACGCTACTATATGGGCCATGGGGGGGGGGGGGGGGGGGGGGGGGGGGGTGTTTCACAAGGACCCTAAGTCGAACTTAACTCTAGGTTGAACTTAAAACTTATGGATAGCCATTTGTAGCCTTAAAAGAATATATATTAAAAAGCAAAAATTCAAGTATTTTAGACTTTTTATAAATTCCAAATCATGAACATGAAATCTCCTTGATAATACAAAACATGAAGGATTTGAATCAACATTTTATGCCTTTTAAAATAACTTTTACAAAATATTTTCATGGATGCTAACGGCTTTCCATAGTTGTTAAGTCCAATTTAGGATCTTTGTGAAACACCCCCTGGCCTTTATAAATACCAGTTACAGAGGCCGGTATATATAGGGCGACTTAAAATCATTATTTGGTATCACTTGTCCTCCGGAGGGGGGGGGGGGGGGGGTTCCTCTTTTTAAAAATCCACATGTAGATGAACTTACCATTTAGAAGACATTCATCTTGATAATCGTCACAACAGTTGCCAAATTGGTCGCACTGGTCGTTACATTGGCAGGGCAAACCGGGGTCATAGCCATTACCACATCGATCCACGCAGGTCAAGTCTGGGTCTACCCCTATCATAACACGAAAAGAACGTGATTATATTGGAGGAGAAAACGCGAAAGATAACATAGATACCAAAAACATAGCAAAACAAAAACCAATGAATTATGACAGAGATGAATCGATAAACTATCATTTTCTTAGGAGCAAGGGTCGACTAGGGGGTGCAATGCGTATTAAGACAGATATGTTCATGATACAGAAAACAGCCTACAAAATAACAAACGGGGAAGGAGAGAGAAGGATTAAGAACCAGAAATGGTGATGTAAAGGAGGAAGGATAGTTTAAAAACATTCGGACATGACAGTGAGGTGCATCCTTAAATTCATAAAAAGGTGTGGGCATAAAGTATTCAGGCATAAACCACGCTATATGTGGATGAAGAATTAAAACAAAATGACGTTGGAAACAAAATAAAAATAACAAATAACAAATATAAATTTAAATTGTAACAACAAAATGAGTTACGACAAAGATGAATTGACAAACTACCATTTTTTAAGAGTCAGAACTATTATGGGTACAACTGTTGTTAGTAAGACAAATACGTTAATATGGAAACAAAAAACATTTTTAAAAAAAGAGAAGGAAAAAAAGAAAACAAAAGAGTGGGAGTCATGCCCAGTCGTGACGAAAAGAGGAGGAATAGTTGCAAGACATACGAACAAGAGGTGTATCCTTTTTAACTCCGCTATGCGTGTTTCATACCCATTGTAATATTTCGCTTACTTTCCTCTGGAACTTTTAAAGAAAGGAAGGAGGGGGGGGGGGGGGGGGGTAATACATTAGCCACTCAACCAAACGAACGTTAAACAAGATAAAACAAAAAAAGTAAATCCATAATTTTGCGGTTTCCCCACGTCGGAAGTCATGGAAGCACTGTTCAAATCTTTTCAGGACTACCCACATGGTATTAAAACGGCAATCTTATAAATGTATACAAATTAACCACCATGCTCAACCTAACTTTAAAAAATACACATAAGTGTACTTCACATTATTTTGCAGAGCAATCGTTTTGCATCTCTCATCATTTATTATCGCCACTGATGTATATTGGCGATATTCTTTATTTACCAACACACTGCTCATTGTAATCGTCACAACAATTGCTATACGACTCGCATTCGTCGTTACATTGACAAGTCAAAGCAGGGTCATAGCCAATACCACATCGATCTTTGCATGATGAATCGGGATCTACGCCTGTTATGCGAATACAAAAACAAACAAACATATAGCGACACTTAGTTAGTAACGATATTAATGGAGAAAAACAGAAACAGACAGAAACGAAAACAGAAAAAGAACATGTAAGTTAGGTTTCTATCAACCTATTTAGTCGGCATGCTTTCATCCACTTCTGCGGACTTTCTCAAGCCAAGTATTTTTTCGTAGTTTCTTGCTATGGCTGACTTGAGATAACAGGAGCAAGGATATAGGTAACATTAATCTACATTTCATCAAAAGGAGTAGTTGAAGCGTGCCTACTACACTTGAAAGATTGTAGCAGCCTAAATTACATGTTTTGATCATGATGATCACCCCAACCGATGAAAGTTTCTGAATCAAATAGAAAAATAATTGAAGACATGAGCAGAAAGAAACACAGGTAACGGAAGGGTGAATTACAACCAACAACTTGATTTACACATACATGGTAATGTATTATTTGTCAGTGATTCTCTTTGGCAAAATGTATTAGTTAAACATGTTAAATCTACAAAAATAACTATGAATGAGGCAGTTGACGGCATGACGAGGGCTGCGGTACAGATAATGACAATTTCAGGATGAGTTTCTAATCATGAGACACGAGCACAACTTACGGTCAGGTGATGGGGACATACGTAATTGTCGCTGTTACGCGGCGTGCTTGGGCGTTTTTGTGCGTGAATGTGTGCGTGTGTCTGTCAGTGTGTTGGTGGGTGGGTGTTTGCCTATTTATATGAGCAAGGAATTGTTATTGGGGGTTAGTGCTTGGGGTTAATATGAGGGAGCCAATATATCAATGGATATATGTACTATATGTACCATACTAACTATGAACATAACCATGGCAGCCATGTGGATTAGAGGGGGGGGGGGGGGGGGGGGAACCAATGGACACCAGTATTATGGTTAATTCCAACAACGATTATGGCTGTGACGTAACTGTAACTGTCATGGTATAGATTATGGAGAGGGAGGGGGATCAGTGACGAAAACATAGATATCAACGATGATTTTTTTTCCTTCTTACCACCACCACCACAAAATTGGTCGTAGTCATCGCAACAGTCACCAAAGTCGAGACATCCGTCGTTGCATTGGCAAGGTTTTCCTGATGTGAATAGACCACACAGTCCCTCACATGAATCTTCATCTACTGGTGGATCTTGAGAAGAAAACGAGAAACAGATCACAGACAAATACAGCTTAATTTTCGTTATCCAACAAAGCCTCTCCTAGGGACTTTTTAGATATGCACGACGAGAACGTGGACTGTCACGTGTGACATCCTTTTTTAAGGCAATGTGACGTCCTTTTAAGGCACTGCCGGGCGCAGCCAGTGCCTTAAAATTACGTTACATTGCCTTAAAAGGATGTCACACGTGGCAGTCCACGTTCTCGTCGAGCAAATCTAAAAGTCCCTATTATTACGTAAATGATGTTATTCATGAATCATTGAATCAGTGGAATGGAGAAGTTACACTTCGTTTGAAAATTCATAAAAATAAAATTAACAATTCGAAGAAATTCAACTTGTTTAAAGTGCTTTAAGAAGCAGTAATTAACATGATATGTTACCCCCTACTCCTCCTTATCATCATCAGCATCATCACCGTCGCCATCATTTTGATCTTTAGCGGGGGAGGTGGTTAGAGAGGGAACGACAGGGAGATGGAGATCTACATTGGGTTTAATTTTGGGCCGGTATTATACACTAAGATTTCGATTAGTATGAGGAATTGACCGGCGAACAAATATGGTATTGGAGGATAATTGTTTACAACAAGCAATGAGACGATAACTTACCGACGCAGTGAACGTAGAAATCTAGACAGCAATCGCCGAATAATTCACAGTTCTCTGTGCATTGGCATAAGTTATACAGGTCGTAGTGATCAATACATCTGTCTTTACATGTATCTGTCCCTGTTAATGTAATGAAAATAGCTGTAAAATGTTTATCTTTTTTTTAAAGGTATATGGAAATGCGATATGGAAATTGATATATATGCATAGATAACGTGATAAGTAATCTACCTTGCTAATGAAAAGGGAATTATGACTAATACAGAATCATGTTATCATTGAATTTTTTGTAAATGTAACAATAACTTAATCATCACCTTAACTCAACATAACATGCAACCGAAAAACTCGCCATTTTTTTCTCCATTATTTGTTAACAAAACAAATTTAGTATATTTTTTGAAATAATTTTAGAACTATTAAAAATCAACTACAGCAATGGTAGACAAAGACAAACAAAGAAATTACGCCCTCCAGTAAAAGAAACAAAAACTGTATTGTGTAATTTAAGTAGGGTTTGTATCGGAATTTTTGGGGTGTTTTGTTCTACTTTTGTTTGTTATGTTACGATATTTATTATAAGGTTATATTTGACACCAATACTTATTGTAAATTAAAAATAATGTCAAACATGTCTTACAATATATTTCATTTAGGCTTTGTTCCGTATACGTAGGCCGTCTCGACAAACCCAATTGTTTTTTTAATGGCCATCCTAATCCTTATGATACCGTTAAAAAGAATTGTCCAGTATCATACTGCATATATGTTTTTTTTAAAATTTTATATTTATATGTACATTTCATTTATTTACCTAGCCTAGGTCTTTTTGATTTATTTGATGGAATCGAAATGAACGAATTAAATTGAATTAAATTGAATGAAAAGACTTTCCAGTTTAAAACTCTACCACCATAAACTCACCCGGTGTGTATGTAAGACTGAAGACGGCTGGAAGAAGCACTAGGAGACAAAAGACAGACTTCATGCTGCTATATTTCACCAAACCTCGTTTGGTTTCATGTGAGATAGACAATAAAGATTCGTTCAAGACCGATTCCTGAATAGTAAGACAGGAAAAATATTACCTGCGATATTTTTCAAAATCATTTACTATTTTGATTGTAAATTATGCACATTTCAACATTATGTAGCGATGCATCATTAATATTTTTTAAATAAAATGAATACAATTTTAAATTGAATTTAAGTGAACTGAACCTATCATATCCGACAGATATCGGAATGCAGTTTATATCTATTTATCTATTTCTTTATCTATTTACATTTGTATATGTCAACGGTGAGCAGGGTGAGTAAACAAATATATGATAAACTAGCCCTACACCATACATCTCAAGTTTAAGAAATTGACTTTGTTCTGTTGACTTTCGAATATAAAACCTAAACTTAATTTACGCACAACTTCTGTCGTAAACATTGGGATAGTTCTGTATATGAAGTTCTTGTCTTGGCATGTATAAGAAGGAATAATAACATATGAGTTTTAGTCAGTTCGATAAGGTTCTAGGCAAAGACAGTGATATATCCGAATATGGAGAGAAACAGAGTTATTACAAGATGCATGTCAGCGACGTATCTAGGGGTGCGTAGGAGGCACGTGCCCTGGCGGCACTAAAAGGGGGCGCAAAGAAAAAAAAAGAGAAAGAAAAAGCAAGGTTTCTAAAGGATTACGCATCTCAATCCAGGGTAAAGCTTATGAGTAATAGTGTTTTTAAAGAGTTTAAACTGCAAACATTTTCTAAAGCTCTGTTGCTTTGCTCTCTCGCGCACAATCCTTTAGGATCTGGTAATTTGGGGCCGCTGAGTGTGATACAATGCACAACAAGCGTCTACGGAGGGTTCATATTGTAACTCTCTCTTCGTTGCTTCCGAGTATTAGGTTTCACCAGGATCTTTTTAGATATCGCGCTCAAAATATGATAGAGTGCAGAAACTAGCATATCCAAAGGTTCAACATTAAACAACAATTTTGATTTTTAGTGGATTAGCTAAATTATAGCTAAATCTCGACCATGAGTCATTTAACTTGGGCCCTAGAGAGATGAAAGAAGTAAAATCTGTTTTTTAATTATTATTTTTAAAAATTTGAACGAAATTAATGATCATTTGTTGAGCTACTCTGATATTTTAAAGGTTAACATGCGTTAGAAATTGCTTTTCTTTATAGGGTGAAGAAAAACAAGTAATCTGCCACTTACTGGGTTTGCTTCTAATATATGCTCCATATTCAAAGCTATTTAAAGTTAGATTTATACCAATCTCGGGTGTAGTGATTTCAAAGTGATTATTACGTTGTGTGGGGGGGGGGGGGGCGTGTTGAGGTTGGGCGCGATTTTGTTCTTAGACCTGGACGCCATATTCCCTAGATACGTCACTGCATAATGTAGATCAGCGGGTTGAATCAGCAGAAAAGTAACAAAGTAACAGGCACTTTATTCTCGATGGGGGCCGTGCAATTTTCTTATCTTCTCTTGTCAATGCTCAGCCATTTTTACCAAACATATTATGGCAGATATCATTGATTCGGTGTACTGAATTAGTTGTTACCTTCTATTAACCCGTATTTTATGATGGAATAATTATTTCCCGTGCTTGAGATTATGTAAAAAGGTGTTGCCTTTATTCAGTGTGGAAACAATATATTTTTATGAACCCTTACCGACCTGTTTCAATGATACACACACACACACACACACACACACACGCACACACAAACAGGATTATAAGTCTTTTAACATAACCACACGTTCATCAGAGTAAACGCTTTAGGAAAACACTTTGCAAAATGAAACGACTATGAAAAATCACTTAACTAAACACGATAATAATTTCTGGTCAAAACTGTTTACGCAATTACATAATTAAGTACCTCGTTTGAAATAATTAAGATCGGCTAACTTGTCAATTATTTTAAATGATTGTAATCCAAAATAGATTGGCAGGTCAGTGACATCATGAAGATTTAAACCTTCACAAATTAAAGACATTTTACAAATATACCGTAGAACCAAAGTCCGTTGGTGCATATTTATACACACATAGTTTTAGTATCTGTCGACAAACTAATCTTGGAGAGCATGTTGACTTTTGTCTCCTTAATAGCAAGGTAATAATGATAACCATTCTTCCAGTAGTAAATCAGATAAATAGTATCTATTCAGATTATCACCTCATGATCATTAAAAGGTCTAGGATCACGACTTAGAGATACTAATTATCTCCTTTCGTACGATCACGGTCCCCTAAATAGTCAATTTAATGAACATTGTTTGCATTGGTTATAAAGGCTCCGCCCTCTAAGAGCGCAGACAACAAAATATAGGGCAGGTCCATTTATGCGTGTATGTTTACCGTGTTTAAATGAAGAAAAAAAAAAGAAGGAAGTATAATGAAAAAGCTTACATTGTGAAAGATTTTCATGCATTTGAAATATTCCTGCAGGGATTACATCCATAGCTTTAAATCTTCTGGGAAAATGAGAATTGCTTAGGAGTCTTCTATCGTATTCATTTAAATTGTGATTTTTATCGAAATGATTGAAAAGAATTAAATCCTCTGACAGTATATTACAGAAGTTTACTGAATGATTGACACAAGTGTTTCTGCATGATTCGGCATGGATACACAATGTAGCCTACTTCGAGGCTGATGCATTTTTAACTTCGCTTTGCTTAAATCTCAATTTATCGCATTTTCTAGCAAATTCAGCGGCATATCAAGATCGGATTCGGGTGAGGAGTCTCCAAACTGTAATAAATCTCAAAGACTACCCCCAGCTAAGCACCTCTGGCACGCCTTTGGTATCCAGGTACATCGACCTTTCCCTCTTTCTGATAATTGTTTGATATTACACCTTAACAAGGATGTATCATGACGTAAAGCAGACACGTCTATTTACATGCAAAATTTGACTTGTACAATGCGCTCTTTGCGCTGAGCAAACATACAAGTCCAGTGTATTGTTCGGGGTTACCTATCTTATAGATCAACTGAATAATAAGCTTAGGTCACATACGAATGGTCCTTCCACTAACTGTAAGGCTGGCTGAACAAATTCTATATTTTGACTTGTGTGAAAATAGTTCAAGTTTGATTTTAATTGCGTACATAGAATTAGATGTAATCCATATCTTTTTTCTTCAAATTGTCAAATCGATATATATATATGAAAGTTCTAGTGGATATAGAAGATACGCATGTCATTTGAAAAGCAGGCGATAACCTTTCAATAAGGAAAAAAACATCACATAATATCCTATTTACAGAAAAGCAACGAAAACAACCAAAGAAAGAAACGAACAATAGAAAATACAAATAGAAATCTGATAAAACAATGTTATACATAGCAACACAAGTGCAAAAAACATGAGTGATTTAGATGAGCTTACTCCCTTGCACTCTTATAGTTTTTTTCTTCTCATTTTCTTAACTACTACAACGAATTATATCACAGACCAAATCATAAGTTCCATTATTCACGTATTCACGATGCTCAGTTATCCAGACTCCAACAACTGAGCTACTTGAAGAATACAAATCAACACATAAAGCAAACAAACATAACAAACATAGATACAACATTATTATCCGAACACAACTCATGCTGTATTTACAAATCAAAACCAGCATCTTTGAAGATAACGATAAATTGTTTTTCATATGAGCTGATATGGACCTTGTTTTAAACACGTTATTCGATACAATGTACTACTACTTCTACCACTACTTCTACTACTACTACTTCTACTACTACTACTACTACTACTACTACTACTACTACTACTACTGTATCCCGAAATCACAAAATACAAAGGTGAACTTAGTTTAAAATTGGGAGTCAACTTATCTGGTAAAGAAGCTCCTTGCATAACATGTAAAGTGCAACTGAGAAAATATAAACGCGAGTCTTCAATCCACAATGCTCGTTGATTTAGAGTTGCGTTTCATTTTCTTGTTCGTTGAACTTACAACTCTTCCTACACGAGACCCAAGGACTATTCCATGTGATTAATATAATCATACCATATTCATATGAAATTACCACTTACCCAAACAAAATACTACAAGTGTGCAGCTTGTAGGAAAGAGTGAGAGCTAGAACCTTCCAGGTGTACAGTAGTCTCCTCGGTCACCAGCTGAACCGATCTGAATGAACTCTGCAACGCTCTCTGTTTAGTTTAGAGATTTATTTATGCGCGGTGCTTCTGTGGTATAGGTTATATAAACCCGCTTTTGCACCATTGGCAGGGAATTTTACCAATTCTCGAAATTGACCACAAATCTCAGGAGAAAAAATTCCCTTGATTGATAAATGGTGATATTGAGAATATCACATTGTATAAATATAATAATGACATAATCAACGCTCAACTTGATAGGAAATTGGAAAGTTTGATTCATAATGACTGTACTTTTTTAAGATTTTTTTTTTTGATTTAGATTGTGAACTCTACACATTATTATGCACTTCGATGCAATTGAAACATGAATTTAATTTGAATATACAGGAGTCCGTAATTATATTATGTACACCCGCGTATTGAATCTACTATAAATGAGGACAATAGAGGCATGGGAATATTAAACAATGGAGGGGGCACTATCATTATGATTATTATGATTATTATTATTATTATTATTATTATTATTATTTTTTTTTTTTTGGTGGGGGAAGGGGGGCGGGGGGGGGGGGGTGAGTGGTCCTTATTGATGGATGGAATGAGAGATAAGAAAAACATCGAATGTCAAACGAGTGGAAGGTGTAATAAACGGTCGTTTAATCTTATTTTCACTTGCCATTTTTCATCTCTCTTTCTTTATATTTCTCTCCTTTATAATCTCTACCATCCCTTTCGCCAATCAAGGGAAAGGGGCACGTAGTTTCGCCATTTTTCATTTCCAATCTACCTTGCAGTTTCTTTCTATCTTTCCAATTGCTTTTCCTCTTTTCGCCAATGAAAGTGAAGTGGCGCAATGGCTTTGCCACTGAAGAGGGGTATATTCTTGATGTAGTGTGATGAGTCATCAAGTTTACAGCATTATCATGCTTATTCAGGGATGACGAAAGCAGTCAATTGATTGAGAAAATAGAACAAGGTTTTATTTTATTCATAACAAAACATGCCAATGTTGCTCTTTTGTTAAGTGATTAAGATTTAAAATCATTAACCGTTTTAGTGTGATAACGAGTAAAGGTATGTTTTTTTTTTAGTAATTATGTACTCCAAAGTAATTTTTTTTTTACTGACCCTCCTTTTTTTAGTTTAATTAATGCTCACGTTAATTGGAAAAGGGGAACATTTATGTGTTTTTTTAGTAATCACTTCCGAAGTGAAAATACCCTTTGCAATTGAGGAAACTGCTAAAATATAAAGATTATTTTTTTTCTTCAGGAAAATCGTTTTAATTATTGAACTATGTTTGTCAACAAACCAATGTAATTTTTAAACCACGAATAGCCGTGAGTTGGCACAATTTCAGGAAGACGCCTCCGCGTCGTGTCACCACATGGCCAGGAAAACATAACTAGAGGAAATTAGTAACCATTAACAGGAATGTAAACCGGATGTGCATTTCATTTTTCTTTCTGATTTTTAGTCCACTTCCTCTCAATGTCCTTTCCTCTCTACTAGGCTTCATGTTTTATTGTGAATAAAAGAGAAAATATAATTCTGTGATAACAACGATATATTTATAGTAACGATAAATACATCATGTTTTTTTAAGTATTGTTGTAAATTCACCCTATTGCATACATGTAATCAAAGTAAGATATTGCAATTCTAAAATACTTCTATTTTGCACTATCATGATTACGTATTACGTAATCTGAAAATGAATCTACGATATGCTATTGAAATTGCCTTAACGTAAACAAAATTGAAACTCTTTGCGATCCTTCGTTTGTTCGTTTATTAATTTCATTTTCATAAAAAAAACACAGCAAATTAAAAAAAACATACAAGTAGCCTATATATACATACAATGAATGTTCAGTTTATACAATAACTTCAAATGAAATAGAAGAACAAAGGAAATGCCTATAGTGGCCTTGTTTTAACAAGTTCCCCCCGAATATTGTAATTTATATTACTGAGTATATATTAGTTCAAGATATGACAAAATACAGTGATAAACACAATATAAAGACAAAAAACTACACAAACATGTATGAAATCATTTAAAATTGGAGTGGGCAAAACGGTTTGGAAGGTAGTTTCAACGGTACGCAGAATGCAAGGTCAGTTTCATTTGTTTTTTAAACACTGAACTGTTTTTATATAAGCGTATGACTTGAGGTAGAGTGTTCCATATCGTGTCATTCGTGTTCTGAGTAAATTATTACGTTGCGTGGTACATTATTGATTTGTGTAGGATCATATCGTGCATATCCATAACTTTTCGGAGTACATCCATATGCTCAGTGTAGATTGATATGTTTCGGAGTATATGGAGACATTATTTTTCAGTAAACTGATACGATTCGGTGTATACACGTAATTATATATTGTTGTACATTCAAGAGTCAATGATTGTTTTTATGATTTTTGTTTATGTACGCATATGCCTTATATGGCCCACATGACTGTACGGAGATCACAAAAGATGAAGGGAAATTTACAAACCTTTAATAACTGTCAAATGAATAACAATTTCGTAACTTAAAACTTTTTGAGGGCCTCTTATATATGTCTGGTGCGGATAATAAGCTCAGCAATTATGATAACTTGATATTCTAGATATTAATCATCACCGTAATCATCATCACCATCATCAGCAAACATAATTATCAATCATCATAATCACCATCCTCATCGATATCATCATCATCATCATCACCATCATTATCTTTATTGTCATCATCTCCATCATCATCATATGCCTTTCAGAATCTGGTTATCATTATTACCTTGCTATTAAGTAGACAGAAATCTCAGAATAAAGCTAAAGAATATTATAGATTAGAAATGTTTGACCTCATGGTTGGTTTTGAAATCTTTTATAACTGTAAAATCTGGTCCTTAAAGCGTATAAGAAACTTAGCATCTACCAGTTTAAATAAACAGCCTTCAAATGAGAACAAAAGATCTTCCGAGCAATATTCTATCTCATTTAAGAACGCCTATTTTCATAGTTTAACAAATAAGATCTGTTCTTAGATCTTTCCTCTCATCATGTTCATCCGATAGCGAAAAGCACTGCCAGTTTCTGGGGCAAAATATGAAAAAATGGCTTACAGAACGTCACAGTTTATTCGTTATTCAACCTGTCGATCAATACACACTTAATATCTTCCAATTACGTATTGCACAGGCGCGTACGCAGGGGGGGGGGGGGGGGGAGGGGGTGGGGGGGGGGGGGGGTTCAACCCCCCTTTGGTATTTTTATGTGTATAAACCCCCCTAAACCCCCCCTTTTTTTTTAATAAAACAAAAATTATTCCCATGGCTGACCTAAAAAAGGTGACCTTACCCCCCCCCCAACGGAGCAAAATGTCAATTTTTCAAATTTCGAGACCCCCCCCCCAAAAAAAAAAAGTGTCCTCTTACCCCCCCCCCCCCCCCTCCCCCCGCTTATTCAGCGGCTGGCTGAGTCGAGTGCGAAATTTTCGGCCCGATTTGAAAATGTTAACCCCCCCCCCCTCCTTGAAAAAATCCTGCGTACGCGCCTGGTATTGCATATGACAGGCTGTCAATGCGGGAGCTTTGGCCATTTCTTTGTTCAAAATGTATCTCCTATCATGCCCGTCTAGCCAAAAAGCACTGCCAGTTTCTGGGGCAAAAGATGGAAAAAGTGACTTACAGAACGTCACAGTTTATTCGTTATTCAACCTGTCGATCAATACACACTTAATATCTTCCAATTACGTATTGCATATGACAAGCTGTCAATGCGGGAGCTTTGCCCATTTCTTTGTTCAAAACGTATCTCCTGTCATGCTCGTCTAGCCAAAAAGATCATAGGCAGATGGAACAAATATTGTCATTGGCCAGGGGCCCCTCCCCCCGGGGGAAAAAACAGGTAAAAACAGGTAAAAACAGGTAATTGTAATCTTTATTTTGAGACGGGCCCCTCCCCTAGTGTTCAAGGGGGGGGGGGGTGCGATCTTCAAATTTTAGGGGGCCAAAAATAGTGCATATTTTGAAAAAAAACAAAAAACATGCCTGTCAAGAGCCAAACAGGTTATGGTGATTGGTATTACGTTAATAAACTACGCAGTACGCATTGACACGATTTAATCACACACGTTCACGTTTATCAGGACATGGTAGTTGATCCACTCATTACTTCTTACTTGATATAAAAGCAACTTGCACATTTGAGCTGCTTACGTTGATGGGTATCAAATGTCACTCCATTAGCCAAATTTGATGACCTGTACATCAAATAAAAGAGTATTCTGCTCCGAAGATAATGACAGAGTACTACCTTTTTGGTGAGGACTCCATTGAGACTGCCCCTGAAGTGTGGTTCAGCATTTTTAAAGAGCGGTGAGTAGAAGAAAAAATATTGTTTTCAGAGCGAATTGACACTTAACATCGTAAATGTATCTCCGACGTTAGCCCCGGGTTTTATTTCGTTAAAAAGTATAGGGTTTGGGTTGCAATTGGGTTTTATTTTTAGGTTATGTATAGGAGTAAAGTAATGATTATGTATAGTTTTGCGTCCATGGTCCATGGTCGACGTTAGGAATTGGGCCAGTGTCACAAATACTGCGGAGCAATTATCGGATGAGAAGGTGTCGTAAAGTCGGAACACTGGGAAGTCGAAACATTGGACATGACTTGTTTAAAGGAAAGAGGTTTTGAACCCTGATCCAATCAGAATCAATATTTTAGGCGAAGACAGAGAGCTAACCGTACCACGAATATTACCGTTAGACCAACTCACATCTCATTGATTATGAATTGGTATTCTTTAACCTCTTTCAAGGCTCACGTCCATAAATTACGATTTGTTTCCCCAATATTAAATACAGGGCTCTGTCTGATAGAGAGTTGCGATTGATACGAATCAATCGCAAGTCCCCTATTCAATCGCAAGTTTGCAGTCTCCTATCTCTTATGTACATAATGACGATTATTATCAATCGCAAATAAGTTTCAATAAATCGCAACTTTTTATAAGACGGGACCCCGGTCCTTCCATGTTGTCCTTAGTTTTATTGTCTCTTTGCATGTCTCCTCTATGTCTAGCTTGTGGAATATCCCCATGGAGAAGTTAGAAGTACGAATCTCAGTTTGCCTTGTCGTATTGTGCAGTATGGCGAGATCTTCTGAATGACAACATCTTACTGCTATTCCAGAACTCAACGTTGGTGATGCTACCAAGAGCACGAAATGGAGGTCTAGCCCATCGACGGTAACAGAGTCTACGACCGGGAGGGATTCCAACTGTTGCGTTTGGAATCAGACGACACCATCGCTGGACCCTACTGATCAATATTCATTGGGTTTGCAAGAGGAAGGTTTGCTAAAAAAATCCGCACTTATAGCTGCAGAATGGCTCTGGGAACCTTGGGCACGGACCTAGTGGGAGATTGTACAGATGGTCACTGCTGGAACGGGAATTCTTGGAAATCTTCTCGTCATTACCCTGCTTTTCCAGCGGCGTAAGAAGAGTCGGGCTACAGATACACTCATCGGAGCCTTGGCGACCGCGGATTTCTTCACTTCGATCTTCATGATACCACTGCCAATTGTCAAGCGTGTTCCTTTGACAATACTTGGCGAAATGTACTGCACGTTAATTGATAGCAGGTTGTTCATGTGGACATCGGCAGTTGCGTCTATTATGACACTAAATTTTATTCCCATTGAAAGATACATCGCCGTTGTCTACCCACTGCGTTGCAAAGAGCTACTATCCCGTACCAGAATCCGGTCTGCCATTGTCCTTGGCTGGTTCATGGGCGTTACGTTGCACTTCCCCTTTTCCTTCGCCAACAATCTTGATCCATCTCAACAACGGTGTGACTGGAAATTCCCGTCAAAGAAAATAAAAAATATTCTGGGTGTAGTTCTCTTTGTCTTTGAGTTTCTCATTCCTATGATCGTGAACGTCACCCTGCAAATGCTAACAGCTCGTGCGTTACACCGCCAGGCTCGGCTGTACCTAGGTGCGGACAGACGTCTAGATGAAGCCAACCCATCCGCGCGACATATCCTCGCTAAGAAGCGCGTCCTACAGACGGTGTCCATAGTGGTCATCCTCTTCATCGTCTGTTGGGGACCGGTCCTGATTGGCTTACTTGCGTTTGACCTCGGGATCCTCCCGGATGCCTACATATACAGTAATCTATATCACGTTCTAGTCATACTAGGTTTCTGCAACTCTTGCGTAAACCAATTCATCTACGCGGTGCGCAACCCAGAATTTCGCAAGGCCATCAGGGAGCTCTTCAATCCTAAAAGGACCGAAGCGCCATTGTTTGATGACAGAGCAACTAAGTCAACACCTCGAGAAACAAGTGTTGTATAGATCACTTAACTTATATTCGGGGAATAGTGAAGGAATGACGTCATCAACTCGATAATTTGCTACAGACTACCCGATACATATTCGAAATCCACGATAATAATATCCAAAGTCCTTTTGAAGCGCATTGATATGCCGCTATACAAGGACGTTATAGAATTATATTATTATTCATGAAATTATGCGAAATCTGAAAGTTCCATGAAATTTTTACTCCGATGAATGTTGTCGATGAAACTTTCACAAGTTGTTTGGTTAACTCACTGTTCCCTATTTATTCAATGTAACTTTACGGTGAATCACCTGTATCAGACCCATCTGTATACAGATTTTGGCCAACTTTAGTTTCGGTTTCAGTTGGTCACAACATGGCATATATTCTTTTTTGGGGAGTTCTTGCCCAACAGAAAAGTATTTGCAACGTGCCCCGAGTCGGCCAAACTCTCCTAATCAATGGCTTTGACCTGTATAGTGTCTAGTGCCACCTTCAACTACACTAAACGAGTGGTTTTTATATTTTAATAGAATAGAAATGATCTTTTCTCGGAGGACCCATCAGCGCCGACTTACAAGTTGATGCTACTACATCGTAGTCGAGTGCTTTAATCAGTTGAATGGAAATGTTAAAGCCCCTCTGCACTAGTTTGGCCAGGAGGGATTAAACCTCCCTGCATGGTCACTGACAGGTGGTTATCTCATCAAATCAGCTCTCAATTAACATGAGAAAAAGGGGACCGCGGGGGACCAATGGTCACCGAGTAGGCGTTGGTTGCTATGTAGAGGGCGGAAGTAGCTAAAATTAGTGCAGTGGGGCTATAAGGTCGTGGTTTCAAGCCAAGACACGACACGTAGGTCCATAATCAAGGCATTTTATTTACATTGCTCCTCTCCACCCAGATGATAAATGGGTACCCGATAGGTTACGACCGTCATTGTGGTTGAATGAGCATGTGCGCCCCCTTAAAATAGGCGACTTGCTGGAATGCTCCTAAGGAAGTAGAGAAGGTGCACTGTGGTGTGCAGAATAGTAACTAAATCCTGTGACCGAGGTGTCACGTGAGAGACTTTTTTTAATTTTTTATTATTGCTACGGACACACAAAATAAAGGGAAATAGAGCTTGTTAATTAAAGTTAAATTGTAATGTTTAATTTCCAATCATTTCTCCTGTTTCACAGACTTTGTTTTGGCTTCAACAATAATACAGTATGTAAATAAACTTATCTTTAACAAAAATAATTCTGGATGGGTAGTTTCCCGTCTGACATCGACGCCGGTCACAGCTCGTGTCGTCCACTTGGCCCTGGCCTCCGCAGACGGTGTCTTTGCTCCACTTGGCCCCGGTAGTCGCTCCGGATTCTTGGCCTCCGCAGACTGAGATACGATGGTGTGTGTCCCGATCCCAGACAAGAGCTAGCCCCCGACGAAAGATATGGAGAACCGGGTGGCAGTTGAGCTAGCCTCTCGTCCCGACGTGGAATTACCCTCAGATATTGACTTTAACTGCCGACTAACATGACGTTTAGTCCATTATAGCTTAGGTGGTTCTCCTCGATTTCAGAAAATCCACCTCTTAATATACCCTACGGTTACTAAGTAAATTCTAAAAACATGACTACAAATATTTGGAGAGGAAATGATCTTACAAAGGAAAATACTTGTATTGAAAAGAGGCTTCCTAAATGTGTGCCAAACAACAGATAAAATATGTACACAGAATTAATGACTTCCCCAGGCCTATTCATAAGGAACAATACATCTTGGCCTGAAAAGAAAACATCTAACCTAACATATTCACCTGACCTTAACAAAGAACACTCCAGACCAGAGAGCGAAACAAATAAATTTCTTTCCTGACAATATCCCCCACCTTAAGATATAATTAGGGGATCTAACTTATATCCACTATAAAAACATTTATTTGAAAAGCTTTCTAAGTATAAGATATAACATACATAACCTACTGGAAACACTAATGATTCAATTCTCTTTTTTTTTTACTGTACATGTATGTATAAAAACCAAAGAACTATAAACCACAGCATCCAAAACCGTGTTTAAAGCAAGTTTGACTGTCATGCTGTGAGTTCTGTCTCTCCATGAAAAACATGGCTTACATTTTCTTTTGAATATGATTAGGAAATCACACTCCTGGTATGAAATATGTATCATTATTTCGTTTGATCATTTTCTTTAAAAGTATAAGCATATTAAAAGACAAGAGATTATGAAACGGGCAATACAAATTCAGATTGCTCAATCTATGTTTGCACTCTGAATGTACTTTTGCAGTTATTAAGCAACTTTTCTATATTCACTATAACCAAACTGTCATCTGAAATGCACTATATTGATTCATTTCTTGCATATAACATTCAACCGATAACAACTTTTCATGCTTGTCTTGATTATGGTATAAGTATTATTTTTTTTTTTTATCCATTAATATAACTTCATTGTTTTTTTTAAAACAAATTATTTACATCTCTTTTTTTTTTACATCTATGACACCGCATAAAATCATGAAGCTTGTTTCTTAAACTACGTTCACAATCTTAAAGCAACCTAACTTAATCCTAACGCCCCTAAACTAACCTATACTAATTTACAACTAAGCCCTAACAGACAATGTTTCCTTAACGTAACTAAAGCTTAACCAACTAAACATAACGGCGACCGCGATTTGCTGGCTCCTGTTTTCCTGAAAGAAATGAGAAAGCTTCAGTAGTCATTTGCTATACAGCATAAACACATACAAAAAAAATGGACCATTATAATTTTTTCCTTGTTTGGTTATTCGCCTTTACAACAATTTCACTATATTTTACAATAGTCTGCTCATGAGGTCAGCCCTAGTCTGAACAGCTTGTAATCTAATACCGCCCTCATCAGAACCAACGCCCTCAGCGGTAGACTTCAACTCATCTGAAAATTCTCTCTCCAACTTCGAATCTTCCAAACCAGTGACCTCCGGCACGACCTCCGGCGTGACCTCTATGTCAGCCTTAGGAACCCAATGGATATTAGGCTCTTTTGGTGGACGAGCCCCTCTCACATTACCAATGATTACATCATTCAAACATTTAGGCATACACACTGCCACAACCTCTCCTTCGAAATAAGGCGAATCAACAACGATTCTTGCCAAGGGGAAACGCCTTATCGTTTCATCAATTAACCTGACTCTAACATGACGACCTGTTAATTGCTCTTTCCTAACTAACGCTTCTCTCACAACACAAGTACTACAACCTGAATCGCGTAGCACGGAAACGGGAACATTCCCAGGCATCAACCTCCCAGACACGACAGGCATATCATTGACCATCGCCTCAATATCATCGTAAGCCATTCCATTTCCAACCTCTTCAATGACTTCACTATCGACCACCCACTCAGCAATGCAAGCTGCTGTCAACTCTACGGCCTCAGATTCAATCTCACCCTCATTAGGCTTATTATGAACAGCATCTACCCCGGGGACTTCATCACCCCCTAACAACATCATACCCTGAGCCGCCATAGACTTCACTAACAGGGGACACTCCCTCTTCATGTGATTGGGATTCCCACACATATAACACCCCTTCTTTTGGAAGGGCTTACTACCTTCCACTTTCTTTGCCCTAGCTTGAACCTCGCCCAATTTTGCATTAGTCTTATCTACTTGATTAGGGCCCTTACTACCCCCTTCCGGATCTGATCGGCTTCTTTCGGATTTCTCTCCACCAAAGAAAACATGAGGTCCGTGTGCACCAACATAAACCTCTGCACACTCCACTGCCTCGTCAAACTTCGTGCATTTCCGTTCCCTGATGAACCTAGCAACCTCTTTTGGACAATCAATCAAAAATTGCTCTCGCAACATCAGATCCTCAAAAGCAGCCCTACTATTGTTTATCTTAGACGCACCTATCCAATTATCAAAATGACCTTTCATCCGATTAGCAAACTGTTTTGGGCGTTCTGAATTCAAAGGCCTAACAGATCTGAAACTACGCCTATACCCCTCCTCAGTGAGATTATAAGATTGCATTAACTCACTCTTAACCACGGTATATTTCTGGCGATCATCTGTACTCATCCTATTCACTACATCTAAGGCCTTCCCTTTCAAATTAGAGATTAGATGTAGTACCCACACGTCATTAGGGATTTTTTGACTTTTCAGGATCATTTCAAACTTGGTAATGTAAGCATCAAATTTATCGTGGGCATCATCAAATTGACCGACAACAAGTTTAACCCCACCTAACTGAGCTACATTATTTCCTTCATCCTTACGCAACTGCGCTAACTTGAGCTCATGTTCACGCTCTCTTTCTCTTTCTACCGCCTGACAGCGTTCAGAAACGAAACTACTCAACCCGCCTCCACTAAGACCTATTTCCCTACCTAAAGTAGAAAACTCTTTAATTTGCTCGACACTAGCCATAGCGACTAAACAACGATTCCAAAACTACAAAAACCTAGGCTTTAACACCGGCAACAAATGCCAACCCCTAGTGCCTTCTAACTAGCACACTAGAATGTATCTCCCAATGAGCATACAATTAATTCAACCATGCGAAACACCGGTCCGCTTCACACCAGACAATTAACCCCTAGTGCCTTCTAACAAGCACACTAGAATTTCTCCTAACGAGAACACAAATTTCAACCATGCGAAACACCGGTCAACTTCACAACATGAACATTCAAAGCCTATAGTAGTTCAAACCTGGAATCTCTAATCGAGCAAAATATCATGCATAATGCACAACCCGCCTAAGCACTATCCTAGCCTATAGGCGTTACCAAGGGCTTAACCTTGGGGAGAATCCACTAAACTCTTGACATTATTGCTTTTATCAACCTAGCATTGATAATTTCTTTTAACCTGTATTTCAACCCCAAACATCAATTACACATCAAATTCGTATGCGGGGAAAAGAGGGGGAGAAATATCTAATTCCCTTTTTGAAATTATTTATAAGTAGCAATGTCTCGGTGGGACCTCCAAATTGTCACGTGAGAGACTTTTTTTTATTTTTTATTATTGCTACGGACACACAAAATAAAGGGAAATAGAGCTTGTTAATTAAAGTTAAATTGTAATGTTTAATTTCCAATCATTTCTCCTGTTTCACAGACTTTGTTTTGGCTTCAACAATAATACAGTATGTAAATAAACTTATCTTTAACAAAAATAATTCTGGATGGGTAGTTTCCCGTCTGACATCGACGCCGGTCACAGCTCGTGTCGTCCACTTGGCCCTGGCCTCCGCAGACGGTGTCTTTGCTCCACTTGGCCCCGGTAGTCGCTCCGGATTCTTGGCCTCCGCAGACTGAGATACGATGGTGTGTGTCCCGATCCCAGACAAGAGCTAGCCCCCGACGAAAGATATGGAGAACCGGGTGGCAGTTGAGCTAGCCTCTCGTCCCGACGTGGAATTACCCTCAGATATTGACTTTAACTGCCGACTAACATGACGTTTAGTCCATTATAGCTTAGGTGGTTCTCCTCGATTTCAGAAAATCCACCTCTTAATATACCCTACGGTTACTAAGTAAATTCTAAAAACATGACTACAAATATTTGGAGAGGAAATGATCTTACAAAGGAAAATACTTGTATTGAAAAGAGGCTTCCTAAATGTGTGCCAAACAACAGATAAAATATGTACACAGAATTAATGACTTCCCCAGGCCTATTCATAAGGAACAATACATCTTGGCCTGAAAAGAAAACATCTAACCTAACATATTCACCTGACCTTAACAAAGAACACTCCAGACCAGAGAGCGAAACAAATAAATTTCTTTCCTGACACGAGGGTAAATATTAGTATTGTAAGCGTTTTGGGAATTTTAGGATAAAGCGCTTTTTAAGAACAGGTATTAATATCATCATTATTATTATCATTATATTTAATAACCTTCTTAGTATTTTTTTTTGAATAATAGTTATTAATATCATTATATTAAACGTATGAGTTTGTAAGCTCTTTGTAACCTCTAAAATGGCGAGCAGTAACTGGTGCATGATATTGAAATATATCGTGGTGTATATCTTGGTGTCGAGAGTGAGTTGAAAATTGTATGGAAGACTGGATAGGCAAACATGATTATGTTTTAACTGACATAGCCTTTCAATGGTGCAATTATGTAGCGTTTTGAATAATGACAGCCTCAAACCTACCACGAGCTTAACGATATTAAAACGGGTTGATTAAAAGCCATTTAGTCTTCGATAACTTATCAACCTGAGAGCTGTCACGTTTCATGGCCTCTCCACAGGTTGTATTTTAATTTCCCACAAACATAATTATGTATTAACTGACATAGCCTTTCAATGGTGCAATTATGTAGCGTTTCGAACAATGACAGCCTCTAACTTATCACGAGCGTAACGATATAAAACCGGGTTGATTAAAAGCCATTAAGTCTTTGATAACTCATCAACCTAAGAGCTGTTACGTGTCATGGCCTCTCTACAGGTTGTATTTTAATTTCCCGCTATGGTTTTATATCAAAATCATAGCCAATAATGATTCACATCACAAATTTCTGACTACTTTAAGTATGGAAACCTGTCAATCAAATACTTTTTAATACTTGTATGATGCTCGTTATAAGGAGATATGCTAGTTTTATTAACCGTGTCCTCTATTTCCATAATACATGAGAATAATAAAATGGCTTGGAAAAACATCGATCCCCGTGTTGCTTGACTTTATAAGTAATTACATGCAGTGCGTCATTAAAGAGAAGGTTGAGTTCTGGGAAGAGGTGAAAAATAATTTGTGAGCATTACTCATTCTTATTATGCAAGTGTGGAAGAACATCAGTTGAGACATGTTCCCTGAAAAGCATGGCTCTTAAAATGCCTTCATATTCTAAATATGCATGTAACATCGTAAAAATCGGGGGGCCGGCTTTTTACGCCACGTGTTCGTGTAGTCCCATATACATCTTTCTGTGCAAGTGTTTGTAACTTTACCAAGACTTGGCCAAATTTCTTATCATTTTGATGATTCCAGAACCTTGCAATACACACAAATTCTTATATGCTAGAGGATCAACCTTTTCTGATCGGTTCCACACCGTTTCTTTCACAATGCAATCGCATGACCAGAACTCAACTTCATCTTTAAGGCTCGTTCGGATACGGCACGACAAAACCACACCGTTTTTTTAATGATGGCGTATTACGCTTCACGTTTCTCTCCTTAGAACACAGAATTCAGTGAACACAAGCAAGATCTCTGTTGCGCGCATTTGCCATTCATTTTATAAGTAAAACAAAATATCTTCGTCACTTTTCAATCTCTTCAATACAACAGAATGGCAGTTCCAAGTCTGATATTTGTAGGATGCATGATGCTAACCATTCCTTCAACACCCGTTGGAGGACAAACGGTCACTGAAACTCTATGGCTTGATCTAAAGACGTTCTCGATGGGAGCTACCGGTACTATAAAGGACCAACCTCAAGATTGGAATTCGGAAAGGCCGTCAGCGTTTATCCCTACAGATCAATCCTCATCAAGTCCACGAGCTCCACAGGACATTAGGATCTTGATAAGGCTGTCGCAACCTAGGGAATGGTCTTGGTGGTTGATTCTGCAGATTATAACGGCAGTCGTGGGTATTATTGGAAATCTCCTTGTAATTGTCATCTTGTTCCAGCGACGAAAACAGAATCGGAACATGGACATCCTAACTGGAGCTCTGGCGACTGCCGATCTTTTAACATCCATCTTTATGATCCCGTTTCCGATACTCAATCGCGTTCCGTCGACGATATTGGGCGAGATCTACTGCAAGATCGTGGCATCTCAGTTTCTCTTTTGGGTGTCGGTAAGCGCGTCCATTATGACACTAACGTTCATTCCCGTTGAACGATACTTCGCCGTGGTTTATCCGTTACGTTTCAAAGAATTTCTGTCCAAGAAGAGAGTCTCGAGGGCAGTACTCTTGATCTGGTTCATGAGCTTCTTAGAACATTCCGTTTTTCTGTTTACAACAAGAGTAGAGGCATCTGAAGAGCAATGCATAGATTTGTACTCATCTAGACAGATAAATATGATTATAACTACCATGCTGATTATTCTAATGCTAATCATACCGATTGCTCTCGCTCTGATCCTGCAGGCGCTTACAGCGCGCTCTCTTCATCGACAGGCCCAGCTTCACCTAGGTGTGGACAAAGGGCTCAATAGATCTAATCCGTCTGTGCGACATTTCATTGCCAAAAGGCGAGTCTTGCAGTTGTTGTTCCTAGTCACCCTTGTCTTCATTGTGTCATGGGTACCTTGCCAGACCTTTTATCTTCTATCCAGCATCGGGTTTGTCCCATATACCACCAGGAACAGGTTTATACAACACGCCTTGAATGTACTTGCTTGTTGCAATTCAAGCGCGAACCCATTCATCTACGCACTGCGCTACCCAGACTTTCGCCAGGCCATGAAGGAACTTTGTAATTCTGGTAGACAGACAGAAGGGCCATTGTTTGACGACAGAGCAGTCAAATCACCACGTGGACAAACAGAAGAAGTTAATAAGGTGTAATTGCCCTGATGATCTGGTACGAATGCATTCTAAGGAGGGTATTCCAGCAACCCATCTAAGGTTTGTCAAGTGTCAAGTAACCTGAGTCTTCTGTACATAGCACTTTCATTCGGTAACGTAATTGTAGTGGATATACCAAATCATGAACTAAGTGACTGCATTGGTTTGTATTTAATTTTTTGTAATTACAGTATTGGAGTAAAATTATATGGAATGGAACATCTGATAATTGGAGCTTCATAAAATCAAACAAAGAACAAGAATAACAAACCCCCTTTCATTATAAGCGATATAATGATTGTTCGCCTAGGTAAATATAAAGGCTACATTGTTTGTAATCTAATTTGTTTTTACCGGATGAATAAATATTATGTTGATCAATAATTTTGATGTATGTTATTTGGAGACTCCAAGTGATATATGCCAGTCTTCACTTATTACTGATTTTCTTTTAATTTAACGAATTCTAGTACTACCATTATTTTAAAATCACATTCTATACATGTATCTCTTAAAATGTTTGTTCTGTCTTTATGTATCCCATCATCGACATACTCATGTCAGGTGGCTGTCGACGTTTGGTCAGTTTGGTCAAATTGTTCTAGAGGCCTTCTAGATAACAGGTTGGAAAGAATGGTCTTAAGGGCTCACCCCAGGACCCACATTGGTGTCTCTCTTCTAGATGGCACCTTCAAAGGATGTGTGAAGTATTCAAATGTGTCAATAACATGGCCCCTTTACCTCAATCTGTGAACGGTTTGTAAAGCCTCTTTATAATGTACGAAAAAGATCAAATGTGGCTTCAAGTAACCGGTGTTCCATTGATAAATAGAAGTGGTAAGCGTACTTTCCAGGATAAAGGAACTAGGGAATGGAACAACCTCAACACAGAACAAAGAAAGGCTATGGCCTTACAATCTTTCAGGGCCTCCTTTAGAAATAAAAATATGCTGCCCTCTTCAGTTTTCACCCAACTTTCCACTGCCTTTAGTTTTCGCCTTGTATATATATTTTTTTTAGCTTACTGTATAATGTATAATGTGATTTTTACATCTAATTTGTTATCCATCAGTTTTTTTTCCCTCCGAATTCTGTTTTTCATGAATTATTCTCATCCTGCCTTTTATTTGTCCTATACCCCTTCACTAACTTCCCGCCGTTTTCCTTTCACATTTTACTTAACGTCCTCTCCCATTCGCCCTCTTTTTTCACTTTTTCCTCCTTTTCTTTCCTTCTTTGTATTCATATCAAATATCCCACCTTCTGTATCCATTTCTGTCAGTTTCTCTTCCTATTTCACTTTTTAAGAAAAGTCATACGAATGTCACTTTCTCACACATATATATATGTATAATGAGTGATTTAATTTGTTTTTAATTGATGTTATTCTACAGTGAGTTTTACATTACGAGTGTCTATTTGCATATTTTGTAGAATATTTTTGTATATATATATTGTTTGTATTGTTTTTAATCAGAGCCCTCAAAGACAGCATGTTTTGTTTTAAACTGAAGGCAACCCTGTTTAAATAAAAATAAAATTAATAAATAAATACAAATTCCATTACAGGTTAAAATGTCAACATTGAAACATATCAGAGGTAAAATCCAATTTGTTTCCCCCTTCCACAGGGTTCCTTTATTATACAATATAAAACATTGACAATATACAACATGCAATCTTGTAAAATTCCATAGTGTCATCTCTTTGCCAAACTAAAATACAAGAATAGCCTATACAAAGGCAAAAAACACACAAATCCAATTATAAACCCCGTTCTATTCCATGGCAGAAGGGTAATTTAACACATATCCAATAGACCAGGCCAGTAGACCAATGGATCGACAGCCCAAATGGCTCTCTCGTGAACCCTCAGAATGCTCGCGAGAGATCAATAAGGACTTTTAGATTTACACGACGAGAACGTGGACCGCCACGTGTGACATCCTTTTAAGGTAATGTGACGTCCTTTTAAGGCACTGCCGGGCAAGGCCCAGTCACACGCGGCAGTCCACGCTCTCGTCGTGTAAATCTAAAAGTCCCTAATAGTAAGGACGGGCTACAAAAGCTAGTGGTTGTATTAATCACAATAAATCCGTTTTACGTAATTTTTCTGTATTCACTTTAGCTCGCCAGATTCATTACCATGGAAGTAAGGTTCACTATGGAAAATAAATATCCAATGTCAATTTCGTATACATGTGCATTAATTTATAGTTCGTTTATTCTAAAAAAAATAGAAATCAGTAGTTCAAATGTGTGACCACGTAGGTGATAGTGTAACTTAGTAGCTCAATAGGTATGTTACAATTATCAGCTCATTTGTTGAAGAAAATGATATTCAAATACTTGTTCATTACTGCCATTACCAAGCTGTTTTCTGCTCTAATAAGACCTGTCATTAAATTATTTACACAAGGAACTGTGGTCAATAATGTTATGATCTATTATGTACAGCTATGGTTTTGATTAAAAGTGCAACTACAATTATTTCATGGCTACACCAATAATGTTCACTTTAATTATATAACTTCAAACCCAACTACCCATTATTATTTCCAATTAAATAGCTGTTATTTCAGTAATATATTCTTTTATTATTTTGTACCTACATGTTATGATTGTCATAATTGTATATGTTATGTATTTAAATTTGTTCAAACAAATTTATAACAAAATAGAAATTCGGCCTTTGGTCGCAATGACATTCGATATTAATAAACTATTTCAATCAATTAATTAAGCTCTCAGTTTAGTCTATCTGTATGACAGGAAACACTGTATTGGACCTGTCAGGCTTGAACATCAAAGCATATTTAAACATGGCAACAAACTTAGGCCACTCGGTTGGATGATGAAATACAAATTAAAAAAAGCCACCTACCAGTGATAGGGGGGGGGGGGGATGGGGTCTGGGGGTGTGACGGGAATCCGATTATATTATTTACCTGTCTCCTTCACGCACTCTTGCGGGGAATTGCGCGAAATTTCCTATCGTAGGATGGTAAGTGAAGGTCGACGGAATTAATAGGCCTATGCAACGAATATAGCTCCACCTCATTACATTATTACGAATGCTCTTAATAATGATTATTTTTTATCAGTAAACGTGATTAAGGATTTGAGTTAGGGTTCGGGTAAAATCTGGGGTTTAGTATTTAGGAAAGATGTTTAATAGCATTAATATTAAGATTGGGTTTCCGAGTTAACCAATCCAAGATAGTTCGATACGAACAATGTGATTGCCTTTTGCTTAGAGTGAACACACGCGTAGCTCGTATTTAAATCTTCACTTACCATCCTACGATATAAATATATGCGCCCTCCATCCTTACAGCTACGTCCCTGGCAACGGAAAACGATGTTATTAAAAACAAATGAATATATCAGTATGTACATATATTTTTCTGAAACCTTTTCCTTTTGACATTTATCCGACTGGTTTAATCGCTTTACACGCAGTAATTCCAATAAACGGCTTGTTCAATGAGAATCACTTGTTCGATGTACAAGGTACATACACAGGTCCCCGGATGTAGAGCATGTCTAGGCGTCCAGTTACTACCCCTCGTTTTTGTCATGATTTGGCATAACGATGACGGTCTTTCCTCGGGCATGACCCCGCTTCACAAACTCCATTGCCTCGTTGGCTGCCTCGAACGCAAACGTCTTGTGAATCACCGGATGGATCTGACGGAAACAATTCAGGAGTAGTGATAGAAAAAAATACGAAAAAGTAATAACAACACAAGAAAATAGAGACGAATAATAAGAAAGCATTATCACACTATACATTTTAAAACTTTGAGCAGCATATTTACAATGACACTTTTTTAAAGTAGATATGTAAAGAAAACGTTTAGTAACGGTCACGCGATTACACTCGTTCCATCTCCCTGATTCATAAGGAACAAAACTGAAAGTACGTGCGAATGGTAGAGTATGTAGCACATAATATAATTGTATACTGTGAGCTTCTCCTGAAAATCACACGCACTAAACACATAAATGGGTATGATGGACTTCTCAAAGATGTCGCATTAAAGCTGGGTCCAAACATTTTAGCTCTTTTGTCGTCATATTTTGTGCAACTGAAGAGCAGCTGTTGTCAGGGGACATTACTCCTTTGGTTTTTCTAAACTGACACGGAGAGAATAGGAAATCTTAAAACATGACTTTACATCTTTACCAGAACTCAACCTTCTCTTGAAGACTGAATGATTGTTTCACATATTTGGGAGACAACTACCTCGTTCAAAACTCATGGCAGAAAATATTCATATCAACACATCAATGCAAGTCATGAGTCAGCATTCGTCATTTCAAAAATAAGGCTTTATGACGCTCAGGCCCCATCGAACGTCCTTGCACAATAGGCCATTTTCGTAAAGTAACCAATTGTATACGTAGAGTTGCGTAGTATTGCGTACCGACTACGCCGAACGTACGCTGCCTTACGCTGGCCTACGTAACTATACGCTGAGGGACGCAAAGGGGTACGCGAGATGGACGCACATATTTTACATGTTTAATTTTGTTCGCCTTTTCATTGACCTGTTTAAATACGAATAATCGTATTTCAATAGTCAGAATGCAAATTGCATATATAACGTATTGCAGGGTAGGGCAATCTATAATAAGCCAGTTTATAGTTGAAGACTGAGCATGAGCAGATAAAGTCATTGCAGACCAAATTGTGAAATACGTCGGAAATGCGTGTGTAGATACATACCATATAGTGTCAAAAAAGGTAACACAATCTCAATACGTAATTAGTTATTCATTAACCAATGTGATAACTTTATTGTTTAAGTAAACACATTCTGTAACAACACATTTCCCATTATCATGGACATCAACCGTCGATAGCTCAGTTGGTAGAGCGGAAGACTGTAGAGGAACAATCACAGACATCTTTAGGTCGCTGGTTCGAATCCGGCTCGACGGAGTGGTCAACCTTTTGTTGCAAATTTGTGACCTCTTGTGAATAGAGCCCTGCGCGATTTCAAGGGGAGGGGGGGGGGGGGGGAGTTTAAATGCTGCAGAAAGATTTCATACCCATGATAGCGAGAGGATTGTTTCAAGTTTCAAGTTTTCCGGTTCTGTACAATTTCCCAAATGCTACATTCAAATCCATTTATTATAGGCTCGTACTATTATAATAATGGACAGGAAAAACTAAGAACATTATTATAAGCCAGTCCATAATTGCAGTATGAGCATGTGCACATTAAGGTCATTGCAGACTAAATTGTGAAATACACGGAGACAAAATACTGGATACGTGATCATGAAAGTTATGTAATCAATATTCATTTATGCACAAGCCGTGCATTCCATAATACACAGGTGGAAGTATTGTGTGAAAAGGGGAAACAAAGGCTATTTATTTATTTCAAAATGGGCGAAGTGTGACCTATTCATGTTTTGAAGATCTGTGTATATTCGGGGTCGTTTGAGACATATGCTAACTGTGAACTGGTCTATTGTTGTCCTACCTAGCATCTACTAATGCACACACTTTGAATTCTGACTATTGATATACATTTACTCATAACAGGTGAATGAAATAATGCGTATCGAGGCGCTTCATAAAGGTATGTGCATAAATTGGGTGACATTACGAACATGGCCTATTTCACCGTCGCATTTTTTCTATTTACAGAACAATGAACACTGGAAACTCACTATGAATATGACTGACAAAGAAAGCGGACAAAATATACAGTTCCTCAGGTAGACAAAGAAACATCCCTTCACTGCTATTATGTAAAAATGTGTAGAACAGGTGAATATGCATGTGGCACCTGTTCTACACATTTTTACATAATAGCAGTGAAGGGATGCTCCTTTGTCTACCCTAGGAACTGTATATTTTGTCCGCTTTCTTTGTCAGTCATGTTCATAGTGACTCCACCTATACAGCAGTGGATCTATTTTTTTCTTCTCTCTTTTGAATACTCGTTCACTTCTGGACTCCTACTGCCAATATCAAGTCTTTCCACTGCCGATAAACCATTTGGTGAAACTGCTTTTAAAATATGAAATAATAAACCATACTCAATTCGAACGCTAGAAAATCACTTTACCGAAGACTCTCTTGCCCCTTTTTCTACAGATCAAGTATTTTGTGTCCTTTTCCAATGTATTGTACATTGTTAGCGCTTTTGAACTTCTTAGTGTATAGCGCAGTATATACGACCATTCTTGCAATTATTATTATTATCATCATTATCATGTCTATCATTATCATTATTATTGTTATTATTATTTCATTAGTAGTAGTAAGTAGTAATAATAGTAGTTGTAGTAATACAATTATTATCATTATGATTCATTATTAGTTTTATTATTATTAATTTGTTACTATTATTATTATTGTAATTATTAATATCATTGTTTTGTTATTATTATATTTACTACTATTATTATATAAATAACATGATTTCAAACTAATCTCACTGGAGAGCTAGACATACGTGACAAAAGTCAGATATGGTCGGAACATTAATAAGTACGTATGAAGATAAGGTAGTACCAGGCACATCCAATTGAACTCAAGTAATACCTATTTTCTTCTATTCCCTTTCCCATATGATCAAAATACTTGAGTTATACATGTGTTCATACATAATGACATAAACACTTTAACAAAGCAAAATACTTTACACAAATAAGCCAGTGTTAAATACGCTACAATAATAAACACTGAAAATGTGGTGTATTGCCAAAAGACGTGATATGTGTGTGCGTTTGCGTGTGTGCGTAAGCCTTCAGCTAGTTGCACAAGAGACATTATTTCTATTGCGTCATCTGAGCTATTCAAGTAATTATTACACTTTGCATTTCAAATCACTTTGTATGTTATTACTCTCATCACATGTGGCGAATTAAAGGCCACAGTTCTCTCTGACGTTAACTACGTCAAACCATGGAACTATTACGTATCCGTAATAGGTCCATGGTGAAACGACGCCTTTTATGCAACAGGCTTTGGGAAATTAATTCACATTAATTTGGCCTACCATTCCGTCATCAATCAGCTTCCTGACTTCTTCTAGGGCGCCCCCATTCGGTTGGTTGAAGGAGATCATTGTCTTCCGGTCGTACAGAAAATCCTATACGAATATTCAAAGTATCGTGATATTATTGATGTAATTTAAACTGTATTTAATGAAAATTCAAGTTTCAGATTTAAACGATGGACATTAATTTAAAATAACGAGAGTAGGATGGGCTAGGCACAACTTTCGACATTTGATTCTTAAAACACAACAACATATCATTAGCATGTTTGACAATGCATGCTAACGGACCGACTTAATTGTGAAAAATAAAGAAGTTTTATGCCTTTTACATACAAAAGTTGATTTATGTTAAATTATGTTAACTCACTATTTTGTTGATGCAAGCTATGCTTCATGTGTATTTTTCCTTTTTTTTAATTTTTTTTAAAAACTATATTTCTAAGTCAGCAAAATGACTTCTCGTGTATAATGCCCGTTGCACACGAAGCGTCGTTTGCCTGACACAGGGCCGCGTCAGTGGGTTATGTTGTATTTGACACGCTCTCCCTTTCTTCTTTGTTTGGTGTTATAAATGGATTTAGTCAAATTCAACTATTTCATTTATTTGATTTGATTTATTAATTTCTGTTTGATTTTCTTTTTCTTTTGCATTTTTACAAATATAGAACAGAAAAACCATTGCGAATTTTACACATTTCAAAAGAATATAATGTCGAATAAAGTAAGGCTGGCTGTAACTAATTGAAACAAAATCAAACAGGACGGTTGAAAAAAAGCTTGATTGTGTGTATCTAAGGTATCACACAAAAAGTGACTGCGAAAAACAGAAAGCAAACATTGCGTTAAATTACTAGCGTATGGACGCTCATATGCTCGTTTAGCGCGGATAATGACGCAACTGAAATGACGCATCATCAGTAACAGGAGTAACATAACACTTGCCTCAACCATCCAACGAAGTTTAAGAGCTGCGTTGACCACCATGCCAAGCATCATGCCATATTTGTTGAAGTTACCAATAAAAGGAACGACAATGGTTACCAACTTTCCGCCCCTTTTCAAGGCAGATTGACACGGCTTAATAAATTCAGCGCCTAGTGTCACAAAGATAACGTCGAACCTTAATGAAGAAAAGAAAATGAAATGAAACAGTGATTTTGATTGCAAAGCCTCCTGAGCCTAAAAGGAAATTTAATCACCACCCCCTGTATATATCTTACAAATGACTATGAATGAAATAAAATGTTTAATATATCGCATTCAATTTCAAGGTGGAAAATGAAAGTGTATTTGTAAGTCACATAGTAATTTAATATAGTGATCGATTGGGAATGTTCAATTAATACTTGGAAAACCCAACAGCTTAATACTCAATGATGATTGGAAAGATTTTTGTTTATTCACCTGCCAATACCTTCTTTGTCTCTACGCGAAAATACCACACCTAAAAATGGTAAGTTAACGGAACACAAGCACTTTTAAATAGAAAGTTGAATAGATAATTTATGAAACCCAGATATCCATGCCATATTTTGGCAATATTCCTCAGTTTACTGAGACATTTTAAGATAAATTACTGACGTCGGTTAGTATGGCGCATGTTACTACCGCCTCCATCCGCAGAGAAAGACAGAGAAGAGAAAGATCGAAATTACTCACTTAGGCCGCTCGGTTAGAGCGTCCTCAAAGTTTCCTTTCGTATAGTCGATGACGTCGTCAGCTCCTAAACGCTCCACCAGATCAATACCATCCTTGCAGCAAGTTGTGGTCACGTGACCTCCCCAAGCTTTGATGAGCTGAATGGCGAATGTCCCTATGCCTCCCGTACCAGCAATAATAAGTACTCTGTAAATAAAATAATATAAATGTACATAAATATATTTATATATATACACACACACGCGCGCGCGCGCAACGCACACACACCCACATGCAAATACACCCACACGCACACACATAACATGTAGGTATTGGAAGGAAGAAAACAGAAAGAGAGAGAGAGAGAGAGTGAGAGTGAGAAAGAGAAAGCAAATATGATACGAGAACGTGCTCTGGAAGGGCAATAGGGACTTTTAGATTTGCACGAAGACAATGTGGATTGCAACGGTCGACGTCCTTTTAATGCACTGCCGTGAATGGACGTCATACGTATCAGTCCACACAAATCTAAAAGTCCCTATTAGCGTCAGAATGCTGAGACCGTCAACAATTTCATTTCTATAATTAATGACAGCACCCCTATCGGCATAGTACCTGTTTTACCGACTCTTCAAAGGGTGTTGCGGCACCCCGGTACCTTATGTCTGTTTTACGAAAATTGATGTGTGGCCTACACTGTAGTCATCTTTTAAGTTTTCCTCTTTTTTTTTCTTCCCTCCTCCTTCTCTTTCTTTTATTAGTACTTGTTAATTTAACTTAAAACAACAAATATGGTTATAAGATTGTATATACACACACACACATGCATCTCTAATGCAAGTTCAATAATTTTACACTGTATGCGTGATTGGAAGGTCGACATTTTAGTTTAAAAGAAAATGAAAGTATACCTTTTCCCATTCGTGTTGATTGGTCCCAAACCGCATCGACCAACCAGCGCACCCCAAGTTGTGGTGCAGACGTATGGTATGGATGCAGCCTCCGTGTGATCGATCGCCACTGGTTTCTTAGCAACCATGTAGTCTTTGACCAACACCTTCAGAGCAAACGTTCCTGGTGAATCTTCGGCACCGATTCCCACAAAGACCTACACATTCAAACAAACATTATCAAATATTACGTTGGTTATTTGATTATGCTTCTCGATGAGTTGTTTTGGGCCCTATTTCACTGGAATAGATCTTATTTTTCTTGGGGGATACGCCATTTTCTTTATGACGCATATACTATTAAAAATTATAAAATTCAAAGATGTACTCACTGGAAATACTGCCAACGTGCTAAAGGCGTATTGTGCTAATACGCATTAAAAACATTCTAGCAATACATAATTTGATAGAATTGGCATCCATGTTATTTCATGGCAACAGGGCAAAATGGTTTACTTTTACAATGTCTTAAAATTTATATCCATTCTCAAATTTTCAAAACAGATACCTCGTCACCAATCCGAAACTTTTCTACGTTGCGTCCTATGTCTTCGACAACACCCGAACAATCCCGACCAAGTACGAGAGGGAGTTCGGCACCTCCATACGGCAACTGCATTAAACGAAAACGGACATAGGGCAGTTAACAGACATGTCAGTCTCGCGGGCCGACAGTCAACTAGAATGTTTATATGAAACGGTACAAGCACACGCATTCACTGCAAAAGTATTCTTAATTTTAAAAGCGATCCTTTTTTTTTAAAATTCATTTTTTAAATATTTTTAATCTGGTTATAGTTTCGCAAAGTAATTTCATGTTTACTATATGAACTTCATTAACATTATGTGACCACTCTAGCTGGCTCAGCTGTGGTGCATTTTGTACTACATGTATTTATATTGCTAGTTATTTCGTCAATAGAGAAGTAACGACTACGTAGGCCTATGTCTCTTTCTAGTTATCTTTCTATTTATCCCTCTCTCTCCCATACACACGTGCACACAAACGCACACACGCACACACACACACACACACAACACACCCACGCCACTCGCTTACCCAAACATTCGACAACTGTTTTAAATTCCTTTACACATGCTATTTTGTTAGAACCCCTATCCACTTATTTAATGCTTCGTGTTTACCTGCTTCTGTTGACGCATTTTGTCGAAGATGGGTCGCGCGTGTCCGGCAATTATACGTTGGTCTATGGGGTTGATGGACGCTGCGCGTACGCGCACAAGCACGTCATTGGGATGCACCACTTTAGGGCAGGGGTGTTCCGAGGTCATCTCCATTTTGTCCGTTTTGTATTCCTTGGCAACCTGTGCTCTCATTTTCTCTCTTGATGAAAAATAGATGAACTTGGATTTTGTTGTAGTTGTAGATGTAGAGAAGAATGCTCTGTAGGCCACGTAAAGCAAGGCACTTCCGACGACGAATTTCAAGACATTTTTGGGAACTGAAGGAAAAGAAAAGAAAAGAGAGTGAAAAATATTTCGGCAGTATCAAAAGAGGGAGAGAGGAGAAAAAGTTTTTCTTCATTGTTATGTATGATTTTCACGATAAAGTCACGTTTAATAGAAAATAAGATTTTGTGTCTGTTTTGTATTTAGATACCTCAGGATTTATTTATAAATAACTCTGTTGCACAAAAAGTTGGATTAAGCTTCCCGGAACTTTTTACTGATCAATATGAAGAGACTGATCAAGAACGTTCTGAGAAGATCTAGGCTGTGTTTATCCTAAGAAGAAAAAATAAGAAAGCATATTGTCTTAATCCCCCCACTCAGTGTTATTTAGGGTACGCGTATGCTTGTTCCCTCTTTTTGAAAGCACCCCCTATCTGAGGACTGCCAACTTTTCCGAACCCCCTTTCGCGGGCTTTTCGCGGGCTTTTCCTGCCTTGGAGACCCCCCTAAATTCGGAAAAATGCTCAATGTACCCCCTAAATTCAGAATAATTTCTCAGGTGTCCAAAGAGATGAGAGAAAAAAAAAACACCCCCTTTTTAAAGAAATCTCCGGGTGAAAAGTTAATACACCCCCCTTTTTTTTACAATTCTGGGGCCGGACTTTGTCGCACGAAAGGTATTCCTTTACCGGACATTTTGGTAACACGCATGCGGTAATTCCGACCCCGGAGTAGGAGGGGGAGGAGGGGGAGGGGGGCGGGTCTTAATCATTTCATGAAAAGAGGTAAAGAAAATTACCTCAACTTTAGAGGGAATATTTTATTTGTATGTCTTACTGAATTTCTTCGTCCAAATCACATGTTTCATAATCAAATATAAAAACAAACTTGAGACGCGTTGCCCTCATCATGCCCCCGTTTCCCAGGGGAATTGCTTCGTATTAACTTTCCAGTCAAGGGAAAAAAACAAAATAATTACGGGTACCCTTTTTTTTTCTTTTTAAATATTTATGATGAATAACAATAACGTCTTAGAAACAATACTGCTTTACCTGTATAGGGCCTACAATCATCATTACCCCAGTGTTGCCAGGAACTCCTAAAATTCAGCTATTATTATAAGTACCATTATTACTATTATTATTATCAATCATTTGGCGTCACCTGTGCTTGGGAGAGGAAAAGGAAACTGAGTCACCATTTGCTCCTCGGGGTCTCTCCTCCTGGTATAACTGATTAGGGATGTGCAGGTTGACCACTACACCGGGGTTTCCTCCTACTCTTATCTTGTACGAATAGTGCAATGAGCAACCTGCTTAACGTGTAACGGTGGCGACTCTGCACTCGTCGAATATTTATTATGGGCCACCAGCGCCAAAACCAAATTCAACTCTATTTATTTATTTATTGCTAAAAAAAAAGCCCTTCCTATATGTACAGATTCACCATATTTATCTCACACAAGTCCAATATTGTACAAACTGAAAACCCTAACAGTATTCGTTTTCTCTTTCATTTCAAAACTATTACACTTTGAATTAAGCCATTCACTCTTACCCTACCAGTAATTCGTCAAATTTTCATCTAGTAAACCCGAAATTATGTATTGCCCACGGATCAATAAGATACCATGGTCCTGACCTATGGAACTCTCTTTCATAATCTATTAAATCATTTTGCTAAAGTTAATACGATGTTAATATCAAAATAATAAAGGTCAAATTTCTGTGTCAACTGATCTTCAGTCTATATCATAATGTCATCTCTTCTTATTTTTGCTTATTTATGATTTATTGTCAGAAAATTATCTATTGTACTTTATATTATTATTGTTATCGAAAAACTGTGTAATTATATGCATGCAGAAGAAAATAAAATAAATAAAATCAAATAAAATCAATTCAAAGGTGGGTAACACAATATCGAACGATGTAAACACCCACCAAGGATGGAACCAAGCATATATCTCAGTATGAGAATCAAGACCTTCACAAACATACATCGCATACTTAATATATAGCATGAGAAAGAAAAGTGTTTTAAAGGGGGATGGGCGGTTGAAAACCCCTCCTTTAATCTGTCAGGTAGTACTATATACGTGATGGTTTTGGTGGTTAGAAGTTGCCCATGGAACTGTAGGAGTTATTATCGGTGTATTAATAATCAATACGAACGAGCCTATATTTGGAAACAAACATCAGAAATTATGGATGTACCTATGCGTACACATTTGCAATGTAAAGCCCCTTTCACACCGTATCTGCGTAGAATTGCGTAGTGTGGCGTACCGAGTACGCCGAAATTAGGCTGCGTATTCATGAACAAAAATGTTGCTTCGGCGTAGTCCCTGCGTAGCTCATGCGTAGGCTGGCGTACGATGGCGTAAAGTTACGTACCCTGTGCATAGGCACCGGGTACCTACGGCGTATGCAATTGGTGTACCTTCGCGTACCCCCTTTCGTCCCTTAGCGTATAGTTACGTAGGCCAGCGTAGGGCAGCGTACGCTCAACGTAGTCGGTACGCAACACTACGCAACTCTACGTACGGCCCGGTGTGAAAGAGGCTAAAGCATCAAACTTAGTAAAGTAAGGAAACCCCGATTTCTTTCAGACACGTTTCAATCTGATTAAAAAAGGAATATCGTACAAAAAAAATTAAATCGCCACTTTACAAAACCTAAGCATAACAAAGGAATCCTGGCCAGAGCTATAACAAAGAAATTGACTTCCATTTTCAGCCAGCTGTATCCCCAACATTAAAATAATTCACTGCATGTCACCCCATGTATTAGTATAACATAATATTTTAATAGTAAGTTATTATGTAGGTAAGTTACAATTAATCACATACAAGATTATCATCTTTTTAACAAATTTTGGGTGGGGCATAATGAACTGAAACACAAATCCTCTCCTACCTCTGATTTCTAATCCACTCTCTGGGCAGAAACATAGCGTAACAATAGAAGCTGTGCAGATCCCCAACAGAACTTTTGATGACAACATCTTGACGACAATGCATTTTGTGAATAAATCCACAATTATTCTATACTATATGGTAGTCTCCAGCAAGAAAACGAAAGCGGAAGAGCGATGAACTGAAAGTACACTTAGACCGTATTCCGGTCCATATTCCCCGCTTGCCTCTCTAAAAAAGAAATGTATAAATAGAACAACACAAAGTCACGCGACCTCCTTATTCGAGGAAGTGCTTAATTATGCCTGACAAGACGGTTTCATATATCAATTGTTCGTTTTTTTTATGTCGATTTTTAAGGGTACGTCATTATCATTTTTTCTAGATCATATTACCTTTAAATAAATGCAAGATCATTAAATAGTTATGCTGGTAGTCTAATATTTTTAAAAATTGTATCACCAAAATTAATACACTAAAAAATAATTGGTTAACCCTCGAGACATTTTAATAAAAGTTAACTGTAAGCAAACATGCCCTCGAGTGTGCATAAATGGTAACGGACCAATTTGAGTCAAGTTGTACCTGTGATTGTAATTTGACCAGGGAGGTGATAGAGAAGTAGTGGAAACTCTTGTAATTTATTCAAACGCATGCGTGAGTTCTAAAGCGTAACAATGGAATGCGTAACATTCCACTTTGCTTTAAAGTTCCATGCTCCGAGCCGCTCTTCCTCTGCGGGGAATTTCGGAGGCCAGGCAACATTTTCACATCTATTAAATTACTGGCAAAATGTCAGTGTAAATTATAAACTTGATATCGGCAATTTCCAGTAAAAACCGAAAGCGGAAGCACGCTGAAGTGAATGTACACTGAGATCTAATCTTGGTCCATATATCCCGCTCGCTTTGGTCAACAAATATGTATAAATAGAACAACACAAAGTCATGCGACTACATGTTGTACTTTTAGTTAGTTATTAAATGCCATATGATGTTGAATTTCATCCATGAGCGTCAAATGTATTGAGGTCTACTCTGGAAAATGCTGTACTATTTCAGTACGATCATTCCAGCTGTCCTCAAAAGTATTGTTATGTGAATAAAATCACACCGTTTTCAATACTGAGTTCACGAGGAGGTAACTAGCATATTCTGTGTCGTCGGTGGAGTTCTGGTGCAGGAAACGATAAATTTAGATGCTACTCAATCTGTTATGTCCGTTTGGAAGAAAGCCATAATTGAAATGCCTCCTGAAAGGAAAAAAGAGAAAGGAAACAGATGAAGTCTGGACGAAACAGAATAAAGAATAATGGTCATCTGACAGAACCTCTGTTTTCTTGTATAAGTTGAATCATACAAACTAAACAGGTGTATGACTTATCATTGAAGCTCATTTTTACATAATAAAGGTCTAGCACCTGTGTCTCCTAAACAGGTCTGTACGACTTATTATTGAAGCACATTTTTATAGAATAAAGGTCTAAAACCTATGTCTGAATCATATTGTTGAATATATCCCATATACCCGAACAACAAAAGTGTGATGTCCTACTGTTGAAGCTGATTTGATAGATAAAGTACATATCTTCTCAGAATAATATCGATCTCCATGACTTTAGTTTGATAAAAAAAAAGACAGATGCGCGCGCCACCCCACCCATGATACCAGGGGGGGGGGGGGGGGGGGGAGGGGGCGTTTCATGAAACAATTTGTCGGTGATTCACCGACTAATATCCACTATGAATATGACGGACAAAGAAAGAGGACAAAATATACAGTTCCTCATTCTACCCTCAACAATTGCTGTGGTAGACAAAAGAACACCCCTTCACTGCTATCATGTAAAAAAGTGTAGAACAGGTGAATATGCATGTGACACCTGTTCTACACATTTTTACATAATAGCAGGGAAGGGATGTTCTTTTTCTACCTGAGGAACTGTATATTTTGACCTCTTTCTTTGTCCGTCATGTTCATAGTGATCGTTTCCACCAACAATTCTATTGTCGCAGACCTTTTTCCAGGCCTGTGATTGGTCAAATTTAGTCAGCGCTGACTGTTGTCGGTGGACAAATGTTGATAAAATGCCCCCGCCCCACGTACCGCCGTCAGGCCTGTCCTCATCAGCTCGAGTTTGCCAAATAACCCGCTATTTTAACTCGATCGCAAATTAGCCAATTAAGTGGCCTGTTCATCATCCCGCAGTTGTAATTACCGGGATATTTGGTCGAGAAAATGTACCAAGAAATCTTGGTCTTGTTTCTAAATTATCCCGCCTTTTTGGAAATAGCGGGCTAATTTGCTCATGCACGTCCGAGTTAGTTTGTGATGAGCGTATCGGTCTGGTGAGGACGCAATTTCGAGCTTCGGGATAATATCCCGAGTCTCAAAATAGCAGGTTATTTGGCAAACTCGAGCTGATGAGGAGGGCCTATTGAGTGTCTGAAGTTACTTTCAAAAATGCAACACAAGGGCAATTTTCCAACCAATATTTGTATATCCCATACAAATTATGAACGGAATACAACAATATTTCCCTTTAATTATTGCACAAAAGCAAGTTAAACAAATCATTTCCACACCCCTCCAAAAAATGGGCCAACATGGCCCAAATTTGCCGCAGTTACGTAACGATATTAAAGGTAAAGATTAGTTTTGGAAACGCCCCCTCTCAAAAAATGTAATGGAAGCTCTTATTACATACCATTTGAAAGAATATGTTTTGACTAAGGCGCGATCATACAATTTTTGCCGAGAAACCGCCTACTAATTGATATATTTGGTAAATTATTATACCTATTTGGACCTGATAGATATAACGCACGTGACGCGCAAGTGTGGGGGTAGTCCAATATACATCTTCATGTGTACAGTGACTGTAGCTTTATTAAAACTGGGTCAAATTTCTTATCATTTTGATGACTTATATGCTAAATGATCAACCTTTCCTGATCGATTCCACAACGTTTCTTTCACAATGCAATCACATGACTAGAACTGGTCTTTATCTTTAAATGTGGACCCGATCGGCTCGCCTGTTTAGCTGAGGCGATGAGCCGTGCTTAATAAATGCAAAGTCATCGAAAATATGCGTTCTCCTCATAAGATTCTTTGTATTCATTGATTTTTATTTCTCAAAACTCCAATTCTTTTTCGTACATAACATATAGTTTATTACAAAACTGCAACATATTTCTCAAACTTTTTCGTCATTTGATAAACAAACACAAATTCAAGATGATGTCATCAAATCGATAGCTATTTATTAGTTCGACAACTTCCGATTTTCATAGCGTTAGACGTCAAGTTTAAAGAGAGCTGTTACTCCTCGAAAAGACACTTAAAAGCATATAATTTATATTATTGTAATCTATGGCTTGTCAGTTTTTCCATTGTTATATCACATTCTCCCTGGTAATATACCGGGTAATTCGTTTATTTAACTTTAATTTCCGAAAACTATCAGCTAATGTTCACTGGACCATCCCAGGCGCGGATCCAGGATTTCTTAGGGGGGGGGGGGGGGGGGCCAAATTTGAAATTATGCGAGCCAAATATTGGTACGTAACGATGACCAACAGTGACGTAATGCGGAGGGGGGGGGGGGGGTCGGTGCAGAGAGGGGCGAGTTTTCCCCCACCCTCCTCCACGAAACGCGGAAGCTTTGACGTTGCATTAAATTATTAGAGAAAGAAGACGATTCGTTGTACCGTTCTCGACTCAAAATCTTCGTCTGAATTTAGTTTTTCCGCTCCCGCGCGAAGCGCGAAAAATTTTACGATTTATTAAATTATTAGAGAAAGAAGACGATTCGTTGTAGAGTTCTCGACTCTTAATCCTTGTCGTAATTCAGCCCCCCCCGTCCTGCGCGAAGCGCGGAAGCTTTTACGTTTATTAAATCATTAGAGAAAGAAGACGACTCGTTGTACTGTTCTCGACTCTTAATCCTCGTCTAAATTCAGTCCCCCCCCCCCTCCCCCTCCTGCGCGAAGCGCGGAAGCTTTGAAGTTTCATTAAAACTATTAAAGAAATAATACGATTCGTTGTAGAGTTCTCGACTCTTAATCCTCATCTGAATTCAGGTCCCCCCCCCAAGCTTTTAAGTTTTATAAGATTATGAGAGAAAGAAGACGATTCGTTGTAGAGTTCTCGACTCTTAATCCTCGTCTGAATTCAGGTTCCCCCCTCACGAGCGAAGCGCGGAAGCTTTTACGTTTCATTAAATCATTAGAGAAAGAAGACGACTCGTTGTACCGTTCTCGACTCTTAATCCTCGTCTAAATTCAGTCCACCCCCCTCCCCCTCCTGCGCGAAGCACGGAAGCCTTGAAGTTTCATTAAAACTATTAAAGAAATAATACGATTCGTTGTAGAGTTCTCGACTCTTAATCCTCATCTGAATTCAGGTCCCCCCCAAGCTTTTACGTTTCATTAAATCATTAGAGAAAGAAGACGATTCGTTGTACCGTTCTCGACTCTTAATCCTCGTCTAAATTCAGTTCCCCCCTCCCCCTCCTGCGCGAAGCGCGGAAGCTTTTACGTGTCATTAAATCATTGGAGAAAGAAGACGATTCGTTGTACCGTTCTCGACTCTTAATCCTCGTCTGAATTCAGGTTCTCCCCCCTCCTCCCGCGCGAAGCGCGGAAGCTTTTAAGTTTTATAAGATTCTGAGAGAAAGAAGACGATTCGTTGTAGAGTTCTCGACTCTTAATCCTCGTCTGAATTCAGGTTTCCCCCCCCCCTCCCGCGCGAAGCGCGGAAGCTTTTACGTTTCATTAAATCATTAGAGAAAGAAGACGATTCGTTGTACCGTTCTCGACTCTTAATCCTCGTCTAAATTCAGTTCCCCCCTCCCCCTCCTGCGCGAAGCGCGGAAGCTTTTACGTGTCATTAAAACTATTAAAGAAATAATACGATTCGTTGTAGAGTTCTCGACTCTTAATCCTCATCTGAATTCAGGTCCCCCCCCAAGCTTTTACGTTTCATTAAATCATTAGAGAAAGAAGACGATTCGTTGAACCGTTCTCGACTCTTAATCCTCGTCTAAATTCAGTTCCCCCCCTCCCCCTCCTGCGCGAAGCGCGGAAGCTTTTACGTGTCATTAAATCATTGGAGAAAGAAGACGATTCGTTGTACCGTTCTCGACTCTTAATCCTCGTCTGAATTCAGGTTCTCCCCCCTCCTCCCGCGCGAAGCGCGGAAGCTTTTAAGTTTTATAAGATTCTGAGAGAAAGAAGACGATTCGTTGTAGAGTTCTCGACTCTTAATCCTCGTCTGAATTCAGGTTTCCCCCCCCCTCCCGCGCGAAGCGCGGAAGCTTTTACGTTTCATTAAATCATTAGAGAAAGAAGACGATTGGCTGTACAGTTCTCGAATCTTAATCCTCGTCTGAATTCAGGTTCCCCCCCCCGCGCGGAGCTTTTAACTTTCATTAAATCAATAGAGAAAAAAGAAGATTCGTTGTACCGTTCTCGAAAATAATCCTCGTCGGAATTTAGTTCCCCCTCCAACCTCGCGCAAAACGCGGAAGCTTTTACGTTTCATTAAAGATTATTATAGGTTTTCCCGCCCAACTTCGTAAACTTAGCATCCGAATTAACGTTACGTTCATTCAAGTTCGTGCGAAATTGAATGACTATGTAGATCAACATTCAAAAAGCTAATTGCGTCGTTCAATTTGATTTAGTAGCATGCGATTTCATACTCTTGTCACGGAGAAGTGCAAAACGAGCATTCAATTTAGAAAAGCGTGCAAAGAGCATTCAAATTCGCGCCGGACAGACGGTGGTATGTATTCGAGCATTCAATTTCGTGATTAGGCATCCATATGTGACATTTGTGCATTGCTTTTCATTTGATGTTAATTTGTCACTTAATATACTTCTGTTTGAATAATTTAATGCTAAGTTTACTTGTAGGAATGATTATGCGTATTCGTTAGCAGATATCTGTCATGACACAGGTAACTGTCCCCAGAGAAGGCGCACAATTTGTGACTTCTCTTCTTCTTGTAAGAACAAGCTATATAATTATACACAGATCCTGGACAGCGGTAGAGTTGAGCTTTAGACATGGCCATGATGGAAACATAATACAATGATGAATAAAGAAAAATATGTGAAATGAAAAGAAAGAAAGATTACCCACTCAATCCAGATTGATACAAAAAAAAAAAACATTTAAAAAATAACTTCATTTATAATGAAATATATGAAGACATGACTGTATAAAGAAATGTTTCATCAAAAATAAAGATCGACAGAAAGAGAAAATATTGAATGCAATATAAATATATCAGACAAATAAGAAGATTGTGTAATGTGAAATCATGTCAGAAAAGATCATAGAGAAAAATAATAAACAAATGAACATGAAAAAGTGAATATCCGAATAAACATCGAGCCTCATACAATAATTATGAGGTCTAGTTTTAATTTGAATGACCCGATTGCGAAAGAGGTTGCCCATAGACGAAAATGAAACCGCAATTCGACAAAGAATTGTCCTCCCACTCAACTTTGGCGAAATCGAATGACGCTATAACGCATTTCCAAATTGACTGAACCAAACGTTAATTTGAATGTGCTTGTTTCGAAAATTCGGTGACTCGAAACGAAATTGAATGCAAAAAGTTTAAAAATGAAACAGGGAAGCAACGAGTGGAGAAAATTTGCTCGAACATGAATGCACGTTAGTGAAATTGATCGCTGCTTTGACGAAATTGGCCGGGAAAACCTATATTACCGTTCTCGCCTCTGAATCCTCGTCTGAATTCAGGTTCCCCCCTCCCGCGCAAAAGCTTTGACGTTTCATAAGATTATGAGAGAAAGAAGACGATTCACTGTACCGTTCTCGATTCTTAATCCTTGTCTGAGTTCAGTCCCCCCCCCTCCCCTCCTGCGCGAAGCTTTGACGTTTCATTAAATTATTAGAGAAAGAAGACGATACGTTGTACTGTTCTCTATACTCTTAATCCTTGTCTGAATTTCAAAGATTTTCTTTGTCTGCTCCTTTTACTTTCTACGTCCTCTTCCGATTTGGGTATAGAGACCGCCCCCCCCCCCCCCCCCCCCCCTGGCTGGCTACGCGCCTTTTTAATACCTATTATTTTGTGACACTGGCAGGTCACTATTTGGCGTGGGGTCCAGGGGGCGGATCCCCCCAAAAGCGGGGTTTTAGGCATTAAATTACCGTCAGATGAGCATCTAAGGGCCCGCCGTAGCGCCCTAGGTGGAATCCAGGGGGCAGAGCCCCGGAAGCTTAAGGGTTTTAGGCATTTAATCACGGTCAGATGAGCATATTTTGTTGACTCATTTTTTAACACTGGCAGTTAACTATTCGTTCTTTCTAGCGCTCATTCTATTTTTTTTCTCTTTAATATACTTTTTCAAATAAAGTGGGGGGGGGGGGGGGGGGGGGGGGGAGGGAGCTCGAGGCTCCCGATCCCTGCCGTACCTCGGGCCCTGACATGTAGGAATCTCAAGAATCATATTTCGTGCCTGGCTGTAAATTTAGGAATTTGTCATTTTCCAACAAACACATATACAAACGTATAATTTACTAAAAAGTGAGGACAAATCTCGGAAATTATGTCATTTCAGCATTATTTGTAATCCACCGTTGTGGAATTATAAATAAACCACGTTTGAATTTGATTTCCCCAAAGCCCCCCCCCTCCCATTAGTACGCCACTATCTCCTCTTTTCCTTTTTCTTTCCCTTTCCTTCCTTCTCTCTTATTTTTTTGATTGGAGGGGGGGGGGGGGGGGTCAACAGCCTGGGAGGAAAGGCCCTTTCGGTCCCCCGATCTCCTTCTTCCCCCTTTCTTTTATTCTTCTTCTTCTTCTTCTTCTTCTTTCTTTCCCTTTCTCTCCTCTTTCCCTTTCCCCTCTTTTCCTTTCTTCTCTCTCTTTTTTTTTTTTTTTTTTTTTTTTTTTTTTTTTTGCGGGGAGGGGGGGGGGGGGGGGCCAAGGCCTGCTCGCCCCCCCCCCTGGATCCGCGCCTGCATCCATTCTCCTTGAACTTTTTAGGCCTGCCATACAAACAAAACATAAAAAGCTACATACGTTTACTTTGGCCTATGCCATATTACGTCTAGCTATTAGGGACTTTCAGATTTGCGTGGACTGATACGTGTGACGTCCATTCAAGGCAGTGCATTAGACGTCGACCGTAGCAATTCACATTGTCGTTGTGCAAATCTAAAAGTCCCTTACCTATTGATAACTGTTCATTGTCTCCCTTGCTTATATAAGGCTAGACTTTGTACCCTCGGTGCTCCTGAATACAACGCACGTTATAGCGTACAACAATCGTTCACGAAGCTTAATATTTCACTGGAGCCCGGAGACATCTTTTCTAGCTAGTTTTCTTCGGTGAGTATTCACATTACGTATGATTGTGATCAGACGGCTTGATAGGGAAGCGTCGGATACATTCCTTATTTTTGTGCATGATGGTTGAGGGAATGCAATATTCATGTCACATGCATGATAAAACTCGTACTCCTCTGACCATTTAGACTAAATATTGACCGAGTATGATATGTGATTTAAAGACCCTGTCGGAAATGAAAATCAGTGAAACAGGTGAACTTTATATATCAATGCAAAGCTCATAAGCCTCAGATTACAATAATATCAATTATATGCTTTGTTAACGTCAATCAGAGGAGTAACAGCTCTCTGAAGACCCGAATTGTGATGCTTTGAAAATCGGAAGTTGTCGACCTAAAAACTAGGTATCGACTGATGCAACATCATCTTATGGGGCTGGAGTACGCATATCAACAATGACTTTGCATTCATTTAGCACGGCTCATCGCCTCGGCAATATAGACGAGCTGATCGGGTCCACATACAATGTCTTCACCGTATCTGCCGTTACCCTAGCCTTTTGACAAGGCCTCGTGACTCTGGCTAAGCGGCTGAGATGAGTCTAGATACCCGGAGTGAACGCGCGACCGAGTGACGGCTTCTCGCTCTCTCGCGCACTCGGGTTTTCGCGATTAGTCTCGTTTTAGTCGCTCAGCGTCTATCAGACAAGTGGCCTTGTTTAAAGGCTACCGTAACCCCTCGTTGACGCCTGTTGACCCGGTTTTTGAAGGTTATAATTTGCTCTAAAATGTGTGCAATACTGTAAGGGGTGATATTTTTAAAATCCTTTATATTCTTATTCTACTTTCTTTCAGCTTTCCATTGTATTTTCATCGGATAGGGTCTTTAATTGAGCCAAAATGATTAATTTAAAGGTACTATGTCCCTTTTGCAGCCAACCTCAAATGCTGTAGAACTTTGCAGGAATTATGAATATGTCTTGTATGTCCTATCTGTGAAATTTAAACGTTAGCAGTGTCCTCATATTCAAATTATGCAAGGAAAGTTGGAAACCCGTTTACTTGCTAGACTTCACTGTCAGACACTATTGAGTGACTGACTGGCTTTTTTCTTCTTTGGTCATAACATACATGAAAAGAGTTGTAAAAGGTACATGAGCATTTGTCTACATCAGTAACCCACTTCTTGTGATGGCCAAGATTAAACTGATTGAATCTTTGCACAGCATAAAACGTATGACCATTCGGTCCAATTGTCTAAAAAATCAAGACTATTACTTTTGGGCTCTATAGCCCTAAAGTCAATTTGACAACTAATAGTCGTTATTTTCCCCACTTGGAGACATTTTCGAGCCCCACATTTTTTAGGGAAGTTCTAAATTAGTATTATCTTTCAAATGCAGTTGGAATTTGACTTTTTCATTTTTTTTGGCCTGCAAATGGGACATAGTACCTTTAATGCAGTTCAAGTTTGTGGGCAATTTTTCTAATGTTACCAAATTGATACATAATGCCTCAATACGAATTATTTTATTCACCTGTTATAGATAATTGTATTTCAATAGTCAGAATGCGAATCGCATACATTATCTGTTGCTATGCAGGAAAAATAACACGTAATGTACGCATTATGACTAGTGACATACAATCATTCGTATCAGGCGATAATAATGAATTTGTAACGAGGCACTATATGTATATTTGTGCATCAAATTTGATTACATTACGTAAACGGCCTATTATAGACATGTTAATTACGTATTTTAATATATGCATGTTCTCTACAGAACTCACGGTTACCATTTATCTGATTCACCTGCTATGCATCAACTCTGCATACATTAGTTGTTACTATGTCTGGCAAGCATCTGGAAAAGTTCTGAGTTGTTCATGTTCACAAGCATGTATAACATTAGTTAATACGTCTAGGCTATTTTATAGTGACATATAGCTTTTTCGGGGGGGGGGAGGGGGGAGGGGGTCTTTATAGTAAGCCCCGTAATCTTAACGTGCATGCTTTTTCCTAAATGTACTGGGTTTCGTTTCTCGAAACCGTCATAAGTTCATGTTTAACGACATTCCATTGAAACACGTGGGACTAAATCTAACACACGTTCCAATGGGATGTCGGTGAACTTGTGAGTGTTTCATGAAACAATGCCCCAGAAGTGTTGAAATAGCAATGCATTTCTTAGTTAATCTAGTATTTAAATTAATTTTGAATGATGAACCCCAGCACTGTCAATCAACGAAGGAATTTAAAGTTACGTTTCAGAAGACAGCTGGCCAAATAAGCTCCTACAGTGTCAAACGAATTATTTCGAACAATGCTCAAACCTGGCCCAAACATAGATTTAAAAAGAAGAAGAAGACGACCCCTTCCTTGCCCAAAAAGAGGGTAGGGGGTGTTCAGTTAAACAAAATAGCTCGATACCCCCTCCCCGTCGAGCAACACAAAAATTGTGGTCACTACGCCCCTCCACCCCCCCCCCCCCCTCCGCTGAGTCGCCGCTAAATATTTTCCGATGAAAAGCAAAACAATAGTGCTGTACTGATAGTGCAAATAGTGGCCGGTTACGTTTCCACTAGACCACGAAACCTCTAAATTGAAAATAAGTATATAAGTATTGAAGATCGAGTAATAACCGCATCATAAATGTGTTTTTATTTTGAAATAGGAACTGCACAGCCTAGGTAGACAAGATGCTCGATGTCATCCCGAAAGTCGCACTCGATTCCTCTGAGGGCCAGCAATTATTGACAGAATCTTTGATCAAGCAAACTGTACTCATCCGACTATTCAACAAGCAACAGAAACAAGGATTCTGTGGTCTTGCATCAGCTGCGCATGTCATGAGCTCCCAGGTCCTAGCGCATAAATATCCTGATCCATCCATACACGACCAATGCGACATTACTGATGTCCGCTACACCGAAGACAACATATTTGAACACGAAGAGACACGGTCAGTAATTGGTAGTGCACAGTATGTCCAACAAAAAAACGAAGGTACATCCCTTAAAGAGATCGGAGATTTGTTGAAGATGCATGGATTCGTCGTCGTCATGAAAAGTGGAGATGAGAGCGATGTCGATGAGTTCCGTCAATTAGCCATCGAAGCACTGTCCAGCACCGCTTCGGGGGTTATTCTCAATTTCCACCACTACTCGAAGGTGAACTGGGGACATTTCAGCCCGTTGGGGGCGTACCACCAGAAGACTGATCGCTTTCTTATCATGGACACGCGACATGATCACCCATATGTTTGGGTGAAGGTCTCTGATCTTTACCCGTTAATCAATACATTGGACCCATTCACGAACCAGAGTAGGGGATATCTTATATCCAAAAGTAATCTTTAAGAAGCCAACTGTGATGAAGCTGGTGTATTAAAACCGTTCGAGAAAATGTTTAAACGGGACCTAAGCAGAGTAACGGATCCAGAGTCAATGCAATTTTGTAAACGTCCTTCATAATTCTTTAAAATTGAGTGTTCTGACAATTCGTGATCCTGAATCTTTTAGGTTTTGAAAGCTCAGTGCTATGTAAGTAATAGTTGCGGATGGGCAGGAGCCAGGGTCGCTGGTATATTATCTTCTTTACTCTTACATCTCTCACAGTTCTGGAACAGAATGAATACAAAAAATGGATCTAGACATAAGGTGAAAATAAGAACTGATTCCATGCCGACATGATTTTCATCGATCTGCAGAAAAATATAAATTTTACTTTTCGGTCTATAAAGCAGAGGCGTAAATCTATCTTGATTACATTTAGACAGTACGCCAATGGAATACACGTCAATGACTCTCTGTCAAGTTGGGAGGAGCGTGTACAATGTTCATATTTATACATTTCATTTCTAATAAACTCTTTCTTCTTTCTCGAAAGAACCATTCACAGCTTAAGGACCGAGCAGCAGATTATTTTACAATGGAAACATAGTACATGTAACATCAGATATTTAGAAAGTAGAAAATCCTAAGATGATGCAGAGATAGGATAAACGTACAGGTTTATACATTCACTAAAATTAAAAATGCAATACCATATATATTGTTGAGTTGAAAACAGTCTGCGACATGAGTTGAATTAATTATTTTAGTTGAATTGAATATGCTTTAGCTGAGTGAAAAACCTGCAGTGTAACGTAATTAATATCAAGTGGATCTCCAAACGTGAATAGTGATGGCTCAAACAATTGAAACTTCTCCCAAGGAGCATAACATTCAATGCTATTGTCCTAATGGCAGACTGATGGATATTAATAAGTCAGAATGAGTTGAGTTGAGTTAATTGATTTTACATTTCACATGCGGAAATAATACGGATAACAAAATATACATAAAAGACATATTGTTTCATGATTTAAAAAAAATGATTATATTAATTGAATGAGTCCGGAGAGTTGAGAGATTTGTTTTCAGTTCATTATGACTGTGCCATTGACCAGTTATGGCCTGGTGGTAGAGTCACTTCCTAGCAAGCAGCGGATGGCAGGTTCAAACCCCTCTGGTTACAAGGCATTTCCCTGACTGACTTTCAATTACAAGATCGAGCACGCGATCTTTATCTACTAAGTCAAAAATATCTTTACAACGAATGATAGAAAAAGTAACATATAACAAAGTCATGCTTACGCACTGAAGGGTCACTGCCAGGCCACGAGTGTTTTCCTGAAAGTGTCACTTCATCAAGGCTATTGAGATTGACACCCTTATATACACAGATAAAGTTTCTAACGGAAATACAGTCGAACTTTGTCTATAAAAGGCCAATCAAGGAAAATAGAAAAAGTGGCCACTGTAGACAGATGGCCTTTTTTTGACAGGTTCTAAAACACACATTTATTTCTCAAGAGAGACAACCTACCCGGGCACTACAGACAGGTGGCCTTCATAGAGAGGCGGCCACTAAGACAGGTTTTGACTGTATTGTGTTATGTACTCTTAATCAAAATAGGTAGATGAACAATCGAGACAATTGACTTGTTATGTACGCTTTTAAAACTCTTTGTAATAAGATTCCAAAGCAAGTTGGTTTCGCACGGCGCAGCTACAAGGCCAAAACAAAACAAAACAACATGTTTAGCATCCTGCTTTTTTTAAAAACATTGGCAGGATCTAGGAGGAGGCCCCTTTTTTTCCCTTTCAAAATGGCCGCTCACGATGGCCGCTCTTTACATTTTCCCTGACAATCGGGCTATTTTTCAAGATGGCCGCCGGCATTTTTTTTTTAATCATTTAAAAAAAAAAAAAAAAAAAAATAGATCATTTAAACAGTGTTTTTCATGTTTTTTTTTCTAAAAAAAAAAAAAGGAAAACAAGAGGAGGCGGCCCCCCAAAGGGAAGCAGGCGGGGACGCTAAACATGTATATATTTGTTAATGGCCCAATTGTGGCTCTTAGTCACTTCATGACATTAACAATAAGAACATTACACTGATGTATTATGTAATTAGAGTATGATTTCTGTGTGACATGACAGGGTAATGCAATTGCGCATGAGTTGATTTCCTGAAGGTGTTTGCATAGTATGTCATTCATGAAAAGGTTTAAAGTTTGAGTCAGATTCTTATGTTTTTGTCCCGAACATGGCATCAAAGTGTTAAAAGAAGAACATTCTTTCTAGCAACTGATGGAAAAGCATTATAGTACACCACGTTCAGTGAAATCTGTAACAAGACCTATTTAATAAAGAATGATTAACTACATACACAATCTTATTTGCTTATCTTTACAAATTGTTACAGATAAAGTTGAGTTCTGGTCATGCGAATGCATTGTCAAAGAAACATCAGAAAAAGTTGATTATCAAGCATATAGGTATCGGTGTGTACTGTTAGGTTCTGGAGTCATCAAAATGATAAGAAATGTGGCCTGGTCTAGGTAAAGTTCTCAATGACGCCCCGAAGTGAATCAAGTGCCTTGATACAAATTATTTAATTCACCTGATAAGAATAATAGCATTTAAATAGACAGAATCCAATCTGCATACATTAGTTGTTGCCACACTTAATACATGCAGTTTGCATTCTGACTATTGCGAATACTAGACAGTTGAATGAAATAATTTGTATTGGGGAACTTCACAAAGACTTATGTATTAAATTTGATAACATTACGAAAATGGCCTAATCCCTGCCACACAATACAGTACAGACGGGACTACAAGACTAGCGCAACTTGTCTCGATCAAGCCACAAAACGACTAAGAGCCATTCGCCTCAGGGGGGGGGGGGGGGGGGGGGGGGGTTAGGTTTTTTTAAAATCCCCTTGGGCTGGCCCCCTCCCCCCCCAAACAAAACTTCTTTTGTTGGTGCTTTTTACCCCCCCCCCCTCCCGGAATATTGGCTGGCACTTGTTTTAAATGAAAGAAAAACATATTTAGTGCTCACTGCCCCTCAACCCCCTACCCCCCCCCCCCACTGAGCGAAATATTGGTCGGCGTTATTTTTCAAATTTCACCCCCCCCGTAACAAAAAGCTAGATCCGCCCCTGCGCATTGAAATACGTCATCCTTCGTTAGAAAGCCAAAAATCTTTGGTACAGGCTCACTGATTGGCTGTTTATTCACTTGGGACGTCAATGAGAACGCCCGTAGATTTTGCCAAAAACCGTTCTGGATTTCAGTACTCGATTAGCGGTCACCCCGCTGTTACTAAAGTAGCTTAACTAATGTATGCAGTTTGGATTCTGTCTATTGAAATGCTATTATTCTTATCAGGTGAATGAAATGGTCTGTATCGAGGCACCTCACAAAGAAGTATGCATTAAATTGGGTTACATTACGAAAATTGCCTATTGGTATTGCATTGTAATAAGGGAGTTTACAGATAGCACATAGTACAAATGACCCCAAATATCCACAGATCTTTTACACATGGAGAAGTTCCACTTTGAGCATCTTAGAATAGTAACTGCCAAAGTCCTAGATGTGCTTCATGAATACCTTTTGTTTGACCTCTTGAAAAGAATACTTCTACCTGCGTATCATAGAATGTACCGTCGGTGCATAAATGAATAATGTTACATACCTTTCATGAGCGCATATCCAGTATTCATCTCTGTGGATTTTACCATTTTGGTACAAATGACCTTCATCTGCCCATGCGCAGATTGTATTTGTGAACTGGCTTATTCCTCCGTACTATACGTACGCGTTCACCGAAAAGCGAAACCGCGTATTGTAACGAGGGCGGTCTGTGTGCACCGGCCGTAACCCTGAGTAGTGCTCTGCGTCGAAGAAGGTTTTTCCGTCGCTGAGCAAAAATTCGCTAATATGGCATCAGTGACGGTATTTCTATCGGTAGGCATTATCTAATCAGTAGTAGATCGAATGAGGCTTGTTTCTCAAATTTGAGACAACTCTAACCCTAGCCCTACGGGGCGGACACGGTACTGTATGCAAAGCATTGGGCGCCTACATTACGCTTGGTTGCTATTTAAAGAAAAAAACATGCAGCTAATACTGACTGAATGATCTTTGTATTCAGTGGTTTCCATCTTTTTTTTTTTTTTCAATGATATTTTATTTTCTCCATTGCTTTTCACAAACAATAACAAAAATTATGATAACAAACAATAACAAAATCAATACATAAAATAATCTGCATGTTAATATTATTATATAGAATATGATTTAACATTCACAGCTAAATAATACAAAAGAACTTTTACTATTTACATCAAATAAAACATGAAACATGCATGCATAAAGAAGGCATGAACATAAAAAGGCATTACAAAAAATATTAAAAAAAACAAAAAACAAAAACAAACTATTATATACCTATGTAATTCATGTATACACGATATAAACATTACATACAATATACTACGCAATAACTAAACTAAACTTTTGAGAACTTAAAAGTTGCATCGGTTTGCAATTTTGAAATATTGTAACAGAGAAGACCAATGGCAATGAGTGTTTAAGATATTCCTATAATGTTTTAAATAAAAGATGGCGCTAGACCACATTTGACAATTTTTTTTCTCTCTCTCTCCAATGATATTTCATTTTCTCCATTGTTTTTCACAAACAATAACAAAATCATTACATAAAATAATCTGCATGTTAATATTATTATACAGAATATGATTTTACATTCACATCTAAATAATACAAATGAACTTTTGCAATTTACATCAAATAAAGCATGAAACATGCATGCATGAAGAAGGCATGAACATAAAAAGACATTTACGAGAGAAAAAAAAAATACTTACATACACACATACACACACGTGCACAGACACCCACACAAACACACATGCCTACATTTTGTGGGAATCTCGACCATTATATCAGCAATGTCCATTTCATTGCTTCTATTCGCCTTCCTTATTTTATTTATTCTGCACGGAGCTATTCTAAATTGTCCCACTTAAAAAAATGATATGTGAGTGTACCTCGGTCCCCAGCTAGTTTCTTCTCCTTTCTATTTTCTAATAATCTTTTCTTAATCTCCAAATAAGTTGGTGGTTTTTGTCTATTTTTACTATCTATATCTTGCTTTTTTCATCACAAATTGATTTTACCACAAGATGGCGCTATCCAATCAAGGGAGATTTCGAAGGGCAAATAAATATTGTCTTTTAACCTAATGCGTATTTCATGACGTAGGCGAACAAAATAACTACGTTCACTACTGTAACAGTCAAGGTCTAATAAAATGAATAGAAATCTAAATTCGAAATATTATTGCTTAAAATTACACTGCTATAACAAAACTGGCGTACACAAAATAATGTAGAGCTTTGGGAGCTGTAATAAATGATTATTTCATTGAACCTAAAATACGTACAATTTTGTCAGTCACTGTGCGTAAGTGTGTCTGCAATGTAAGACTATGCTGACGTTTCACTGTACTGCCTCTGTGCTTTAACATAATGACACAGCCAGGGACTGGCGGAGTTAGGCTCTGCACAAGGTGTAGGGCTTGAGGTAAAGTGTCAAATTAGAACAGGTATGGGAAAATGCATACTGTTTGTAATGGATAATACTACATGTTAAACATCGATAGGAAAATATACGAAAATTTTAACCGCACTAAACAAATTTGAACTCCTACCTTTCGTCACAAAAATGCTCCCTAAAACGAAATGCCCTCTACGAAATAAGAATTATATACAAACTAGGTAATTATATTATTACAAACATTCAAATTACATACAAATGCATATCATAATATGAATCAATTGAATAATTATACTTAAAACCCACATAGATGACAAATCATTTCAAAAATTGAAAAATAGCAGGAGACCACAATGTAAGCTAGAACTTGACCGTGCTGGTGGCCTCAGGAAAGAAACCATTATGGGCGAAAATACAAAAATATAAAATCAGATAGAAATTAATTACAACAGCCGCATAATGAAGGAAATGCTCTTTTTGTTCAAGGCATACAAATGTTATGCATTAAGTGTAAAGGTATATATTATGCAAGCGTATGTCTTTTGGGAAACGTGTAATTTAAGTTTTTGTTTATGTATGTGTACGTGCAAGTGCGAATGCAAGTGCTTGTTTCGGAGTACTTATTCATCATGACTTGTAGGCTGATGATAATTCACCCTTCATTCAGGCGCGGATCCAGGATTTCTTAGGGGAGAGGCCCAAATTTGAAATAATGCGAGTCAAATATTGTTACGTAATGGTGGCCAGCAGTGACGTAATTAGGGGTGGGTGGGTGCAGGGAGGGGTTTTCCCCCTCCCTCCTCCGCGAAGCGAGGAAGCTTTGACATTTCAATAAATTATTAGAGAAAGAAGACGATTCGTTGTACCATTCCCAAAAATAATCGTCGTCTGAATTATGTTTCCCCCCATCCCGCGAGAAGCGCGAAAGCTTTTACGTTTCATTAAATCATTAGAGAAAGAAGACGATTCGTCGTACCGTTCTCGTCTCTTAATCCTTGTCTAAATTCAGTTCCCCCCTCTCCATCCCCCTCCCCCCACTTACCGCGCGAAGCGCGGAAGCTTAGACGTTTCATTAAATTATTAGAGAAAGAAGACGATTTGTTGTGTCGTTATCGACTCTTAATCTTCGTCTTAATTCAGTTTCCCCCAAGCTTTTACGTT